AGTGGTCAGCACACAGGAGTACAAGCAAGAATCAGAGAGACGGCCAAACATGCGTTCTATGTACATTGTAGTGCACACTCCGATTTTATCCTCAACTGATCCGCACTGATCCTCAACAACTCGTCTCCATACCGGCGTGATTACTTCGACTTCCAAACAGATGGAAATGGATAAATACTCTAAATGTTCCGATCCAATCTGACTTGTAATGCTGCCCGAATCATACACTGTTCCTTTGTTGGCCAGAGGAGAACTGGCCCTCCGACTGAGTCAAGGTTTTTTTCTCCATTCTGTCTCCTGATGGAGTTTTGGTTCCTTGCCACTGTTGCCTTGGCTTTTGGCTTGCTTAGTTGGGGACATTTAATATTCAATAATATTATTGATCTGCCTTACTTAAGGTGGACATTGACGCAATTTTCTTCTAGAAACAAACTTTGTTGTATTATTCTCATGTTATCACTGTGAAGCTGCTTTGATACAATCTGTATTGTAAAAAGCGCTATATAAATAAAGGTGACTTGACTTGACTTGACACACAGTTTAAACCTTGATCTTGTAGACTGTGTGAAGTCAGTTCCGGATGCTGCACGTTTCTTTTCCTTACTGGAGAGGCTGTATGTTTTCTTTTCCAGTTCATACGTTCACCACAAATGGCTAGAAGTGCAAAGTGAGTTGTTCGAGGGAGCACCAAGAGAACTCCAGAGATTGAGTGATACCAGGTGGGTTTGCAGGTATATAACTTGTCGAAATCTAATGGGTCGATTGTCAGCTGTCAAGAGTGCTTGAGGATATTTCAGAGGAAGGCCTTCCTGATAGGGCTGTAGATGCTAGGGGTTACTTGGTCAGATTGATTTAAATTTCATTTTGTCTGTCTTCAAAAAAGTTCTTGGTAGCACAACATTTTTATCAGGCATGCTTCAGTCTCCCAAGTTAGAGATGTAAAAAGCAGTAGATCTCATTGGAGCACTGAAACAAACCTTTAAAGAGGACCATAGTGAGACTTCCTTCAACAATCTCTGGGATGAGATTATCAAGACATGACAATTGCAGCATTTTCTCTGACTTGCCACTTCCTAAGCAAAAACGACAGTTATCTTGAACACTGCAGGGTTGTGTCATAACATCTACAGTTGGACAGCATGTGGAGATGGACAGTAAGGAAGCCTTTAAATCACGTTTACTACCCAATCATTGACTGTATGATTGGAGAAATAGAGAGGCGTTTCTCAAAATTAAACTGTGGGATCATGAAAGGAATACAAGCACTTAACCCCTCAAACAGCAACTTTTTGGATGAAGAAAGCATTGCACCCTTAGCCAAGGCTTATGATGCAGATATGGAGGACCTAAAACACGAGCTACATCAGACCAGACGAATTTTAAGCAGGAAAAAGTCTGATGGACAGATGATTCCTGTTACTTTGATGGAATTCACCAGGTTTCTTGAACCTTTTAAAGGAGTCTTCTTTGAGCTTTTCCGTCTTGCAAAAATAGCTGTTGTACTACCTGTAAGTAGTGCCTCATGTGAGCGCAGTTTCTCTACGCTGAAACTTGTAAAAACTCACTTGCACTCCACTATGTCATATAATGACATCAGCAATTTGTCAATACTTAGTATTGAGTCTGAGCGTTCAAAGGCAATAGACATGGATGTTTTCATTAAACGTTTTTGTGCACAGCATGGTAACCGGCGAATTCAGCTCTTCTGATTTTTTGGGTTCTCATGTTTGACTATTTGTCTGACTAGTGTAACTAGGTTCACATAATCAGTTACAGTAGTATATCTACTTCTCTGTGTCATATTCTGATTTTTTGTACAGATAATGAGTTAATAGCTGCTGTCTTACATGTTTGACAATTTCATATTTGAGTCTGATACTGGCTTGCCACTTCTGTTTTACTATTTCATATTTGAGTCTGATACTGGCTTGCTACTCTGGTTGCTCTTAGCTTTGCTGCTTTTATTTGTGTTTTATGTGTTGTTATGCAGGTATTATTTTCATATGATTTAGGCTATCTGGTTGTTCTTTAAAGCACTTTGGTCAGGCAAGTGGCTGTTGTAAATTGGCTATATAAATGAAGTGAACTTGAACTTGATGTTTGACTATTTGTCTGACTAGTGTAACGGTGACACTTTACAATACGGGTGTCCTAATAAGCATTAATTCATACTTAACTAATGCACAGATAATCATGATTTAATGTATGACTCATAAAGAACTAAAAAAAGAAGTGTGAAGTCCGCACACTGAAAAGGCTGCTCCAAAGAATTTATTAGCAAGGCTTATAAATTCTTTGGAGCAGCCTTTTCAGTGTGCGGACTTCACACTTCTTTTTTTGTTTGTATTACTCAGTTGTCCTGCACCTGCGCCCAATCTGGGTGTTTGGGATGTGCACACCAGTTGTGTATTTTTTGATTCTTCATAAAGAACTAAACCATTAATTAATTATTACTGCATCAGCAACTAATAAAGAGTCTATATGATTAATAGATTAAGTAATACATGAATTGCTATTAATTAAACGTCTCATCATGTATTAATTCCTTAATAACATATTTTATTAACTAATAGTGTAAATTAATGTGTTAATTACCACAATTAGTCAAAGCTTTGCACTTCAACTACCAGTTGTCTGCTTTAATTAATCATTAGCTAATGATTTGCAAAGGTTCATTATGTTATGACTTTACTTGTTGAGGCACATCATTATTAACTAATTGTTAAGTAATATGTCATTATGGTTATGGGTTTTGTCATCCCCACTAAAGGTCTGTGGAGCAGTTGCACATGCAGTGAGTGTAATGTCAGAGAGTGTTTGAAGGATGGGTAAGTTGGGCCGCACACAAATATCAGCACACCAGAATCTGAAATACTGACGCTATTACACCGTGTTTAAACTGTACGAGACCATTACAGCTGTCTACACTGGACATGACAGACCATTGCAAGTCCATTTGTCCTTCATAACAGAAGTAGCGCAAGAGCTCGGAGTACGTCAGAAATAGAGTGGCATCAGTTTACTGTCGGGGTTTTGTTGTGTCGTGTAGCATTGTGTCGCATCCAGTGTTGTATCATTGATTATAATGGGTTCTAGTTTCTTTGTCCGGTCTAGACAGTGTTATGAAATAGCAGATTCTCAGTGTTCTTCCTTTAAATCCTAGAGCTCAAGTTTAACCTGACACACTCCTGTGCCATGAACTGTTGGACGCGGCGGTTCATCTGTCACACACTGGAATCCCGGTTGTAGAAGGCGGGAAATTGAAATCCATAGTGTCGATGTCAAAACCAAAATTACATATTACTTAACAATTAGTAATAGTCATGTGCCTCAACAAGTAAAGTCATAACATAATGATACCTTTGCAAATCATTAGCTAATGATTAATTAAAGCAGGCAACTGGTAGTTAAAGTGCATAGCGTTGACTAATTGTGGTAATTAACACATTAATTTACACTATTAGTTAATAAAATATGTTAAGGAATTAATACATGATGACACGTTTAATTAATAGCAATTCATGTATTACTTAATTTATTAATCATATAGACTCTTTATTAGTTGCTGATGCAGTAATCATTAATTAATGGTTTAGTTCTTCATGAGTTATACATTAACTCATGATTATCTGTGCATTAGTTAAGTATGAATTAATGCTTATTAGTGCACCCGTATTGTAAAGTGTTACTGTGTAACTAGGTTCACATAATCAGTTACAGTAGTAAACTGCATCTTACAGAATATGCATAATTTATTTTGGGGCTGTTGTGGCTTTTTCTTTCCAACAAACATCATCACTGAGTAAGAGACACTCTGAATCCAATTTAATAGTTTATAAAGTATTTATTCTCTTGCAAGAGAGATCCTCGTCACCAATACACATACATGAGTCAGTGAGGAGAGATAAAGAGAAGCAGTGTCTGTCTTTCTTATATCTTGTGTCCTCCAAGGCCTTATTTCTGCCCTCCCCTCACAGGAGAGATATACTTTGTTTTTTTCCTCTATTTCTCCCTGGCCCTGAGAGGTAAATGCCCCCTTAACCCTTTAGGCTATAACGTACAAATGCACTCAAGATGACCCCTTGACCACCTGCTTTTCCTTACCTCCACTGACTCCCAACCACAGTAAATTATCACAAAGCCCCCTCTCACTACAAGTGAGAGAACAAATGAGGCCATCATTAGGAATCACTGAAATTTAAGTAATAATGGAAAATTCCATAACAGGGCTCAGTATTTCTTGGACTTTTTCCCAAAATGCATTGTTTAATTGTTTGGTAATCAAAATATTCTGGATTCTTTATCTTTTTGATCAATATTAATAAATAAATGCACTTTGAGTACAAATTAAGGAATCAATTTATTCTATTTTAAAAGTATTTGTTTCTACCAGTAATCCCCACTACAGCAAGGGCATTTTTCCATGATTACTCCATTAATATGCTTACACACACATGATCATGCACACACATTATCACACATACAGACATACACACTCTCACACATACTCTCTCTCTCTCTCTCTCTCTCTCTCTCTCTCTCTCTCTCTCTCTCTCTCTCTCTCTCTCTCTCTCTCTCTCTCTCTCTCTCTCTCTCTCTCTCTCTCTCTCTCTCTCTCTCTCTCTCTCTCTCTCTCTCTCTCTCTCTCTCTCTCTCTCTCTCTCTCTCTCTCTCTCACACACACACACACACACAGAGTATCTGAACAAGAGACTTAAATTGTAACACATGAGATTAACACTGCTTCTCCAGAACATAGATACACTCATAATGGTGTGTGTGTGTGTGTGTGTGTGTGTGCGTGTGTGCGTAGGTATGTACACACTGAGGGTCGTCTGCACCCCCTCCCTACACACTCTTGTTTATGACATCACCAAGAAGGTGAGAATCAGTTTAGAAAACTTCATTAAGATCTGTTTAATATTTTACTGTTTTATTTTTCTATCAATATTTCTCACTATATAAATGCAAGTGATGTTAATATGTGATAGTGTAAATAAGTGATGTTTCTGAAGGTTTTGAGTCCAGAGGAAGGAGAGGAGGGCATGAGTCTGTATGAGAGCATGGCACAAGCGAGACAACTCCACAGACAGAGACGCACCATGGTCCTGACGTCATCATCATCATCTATAAGACCATCTGATTGATTATAGATATTGGAGATCCATGACATGCATCTCAAATGTGTGTGTTGTCCCTGCAGGATCAGTAAACTGGGCTCTGGAAGTGATTTTGAAGCGTATTTCATCAGATTAGGGATTGCGTCTGGAAGGGCGAGATACACCAAAAACCGGGTGAGTGTGTTTGTGTGCAACACTGTATTTTTGTAAGTCCTGTCAGTGTTTACATCTACGCAAAATAGATTTTAAATTTGCAGCATTTAAATAGTTTTGTACCACCTTTCCCCCAGAAAACCGAGCGCTACAGCAGTTACCCGGTTTACCACAGCGTGTACGAGACCTATGAGATCGTGGAGCGCTTCTACGACCCGAGTTTCCGGCGGCTGGAGGCGGTGTCCCGTGTTCGAGGTGGACTGATCTTCAGTTTGGCTGATTCTCTGATCTTACCTCTGGACTGTACAGAATACGCCTCGTCTCTCAGCAAATACGCTAACAGCATTCACCAGCTAGCGCTGAAGCATCCTGCCGCCATGCAGCAGTTCGGCATCTCATTCGGTACACACACTATCCATCATTTAATATGCAAGATTAGTATGTTCAAATCATGCACTCTAGCCGCGTTTCCACCGGAATTACCCGGAACAATTTGTCCAAGGAACTTTTTTCCCCCCCGGACCTGTTGCTGTCTGTGTGTCCACCGCGGTCTAGAGTACCGTGAGGATCAGGCAAATTAGTTCGGTGACGTAGGACTTTGCACGACTTTACCGCTCCCGTTGGATTTCATCCTCTGAATTTAAGCTTAATAAAGCCTGAACCTCGTCGTCTGTCCATCGGTTGTATTTTTAAAACTTCAGTGTTGATTCAAATAGCAAACAACTGTTACTGCACGGCACGCACCGCAACAGACTTTTAAAAATGGTGGTTGAAATAAAATGCGGCGTGAACTCAACCAATACGCATGTTCAGCGCCCAAAACCAACCCCTAAAGTTCCCTGAGGGGGAAATAGTCAAGTCAAATATATTTACATAGCGCCGCTTTTCACAACAAAGATTGTATCAAAGCTGCTTCACAGTATCAATCAAAACAACTTAACAGTGTTTGTTTATTACTGGAAAAGACATCCAAGTTTGGTAGAGCCGATCACTGGTATGATGGGTCATTTAATTTGAATATCCCTGGGTAAATATTTACCCAGAACTTTATTTAGACCCTGTTCCTGCAGTCGAAACACACCGACTAACACCCAAAGTCCTCAGTTCCTGGGGAAAGTTCCTGCGCTGGAAACACGGCTTCTGAAAAATAAAGGCTCTTTATTGGCAATGAGTTCCATGAAGCAACTTTAACATCCATGTAATCTTTCCATTACACAAAAGATTCTTTTTAGTGGAAACCGTTTCTTAAGATGATTCAAATGTTATTCACAATCAGAAATATATATATTTTTTATATTATGCTTTTTTCCCCATGTTCATCTTTCTTTAGTGTGTAATAATGCTGTTTGGGCCTGGTTGAGTTAGTTAGTAGTGTGTTGAAACTGGTGGTTATGGTAAAGGGCGGGACATTTCCCAAACACACTTGACCAATCACAACACACTGGTCCTCCAGCCGACCAATCAGAGAACAGTGTGCTTTTCAGAAGGAGGGGCTTCACAGAGACAGCAACTAAACAGAGCGTTACTGACAGACTGAGAAAGAGAGGAGCTGCAACAATGGAGAATATGAGAAAAATATTTTATGAACATTCACACATTAAAAACCTATTTTAGTAGAGCCAAAAACAAAACCAAGAATGTGAAAAGGACATGATAAGTCCCCTTTAAGAACTGATCACTGAAAGTTTCTTTGAAGAACCAAAACTGGTTCTTCTGTGCCATCGCTGCAAAAACAGTCTTCGTTTTATTTTAAGGATCTGAGGTGAATTATTACATTTACATTTATTTATTTGGCAGACGCTTTTATCCAAAGCGACTTGCATTGCATTTCAAGCTACACATTTACATTCTTATCAGTTCTTCTGATTATCCATTCTGTTATCCAGCTGTCAGTGTGTGTATAAAGGTCACCCAAACTGATATTCAAACACTCATTAGACGCTTTTAACATTAAGTAAAGCACATAAACAATACCCGAGATATTTTCATCGTCATGTATATATATATAACTTATCATATATAAAACATTAATGTGACAATGGGATTGTTAATAAACAATTTCCAGAAAAGTTCTTCCTAATAAACCACTGTTTTACAAAAATAAAATATAGAGAATGCATGTAATTTGAAAATTAGATTTAGTAAAATCTCCTGAAGAACATTTGAGAGTACAGTACAATATTTAATGTTTACAGTAACATGATAGAGTCTCAAACATTTGATCCACATTAATATTTCATTCTAGTCTATTTCTATCTTCCAATCCATGACAAGCAAACCTAATCCAAGCTAAATTGAGACTTAAACTCAAACTCAGCTGAGAGGAAGCGAATGTGCATGAATATTAAGGCTGTAAATCATCAGAAACAACATGGAATGATAAAACAACAAAAAGGCAACAACGAGTATATTTGCTTGTGTAAATGTTGACAGCACTAACATAAGAGGAAATATCATAAGTATAGACATAACTTTTTACTTAAATTTTGTTAGATATTTTGATGCGCATTCTTTGGACCCGGCTTAAACCTCGACAGTAAAGCTAGAAGTACTGGACCAAATCTGTTATTGCCATATCGAAATTTTGGAAAGACTTAATATGCCATATTGAATCTGACACCAATGAAAACAAGGCTGTGAGAGATATTAAACTAATTGTTCACCCAATGAAATTAGAATTTCAATAAATTAAGTGAATAAAATATGCAGGGGGGACAAAAAGAAAAAATGATGCTTCATTGATGTTATATTAGAATTACCGTAATTATGAGTTCCTGATTATTAAAACCAAATGGTAACATTACTTGTTGACTGTTGACTGTAATGTCATACAAAAATACCCAAAATTGCAGCAGCTCCAAGAGATATAGTTAGTTAGGTATTTGGATCCATTAGTTTGATATTTACTATATTTTGATAAAGTTTTAATATTATTATAATATTAATATAAAGATGGTGTAAATGTACTTCTATCCCTCACAGCTTCATTTTCATTCACATCTAAACTGATTAGAGTGTAAAGCAAGAACAGTCATGATGTGCTGACTGAAAATGAAATATAAACATTACAATTTTTTACTTATTTTATTTCAGTAATTTCTGCAACATTTTTGTTTAATTTGAAGTACTAAAATATCAAACTAAAACTGAAATAAAAAGTAAACTAATAAAAAAAATCCAAAACTAACAAAAACATTCCTACAAAATTAACTCAAATTAAAATTCAAAATATATAAAAATAAAAGCTAGCTCAAGATATGAATAAATCAATAATGTTATCTCAAAGACACTAAATGTGTTTTAACGCAGATAAACGTTTCTTTTCTTCTGAAGCAGCATGCGTATTTAGACACCATCCAACACAAAAACACATTTATTTGCGTGTAAGATGTTCTGCTGAGATCTGAGAATGAGACACTTACCGCAATACTAAGAGAATCCGAGAAGTCTGTTGTGCGTCTCTTACAACACGACCAACCCTGAAGAAAGCAAGAGATAAAGAAAGAAAGAGGGTTTGTTGGAATGTCTTTTAAAGGAAAAACATGCATTATTGCACCCAGAACAATACAAAAACATTTCTCAGAAGAATGACATCAATAAGTACCAGTAAACAGTAAAAAATAAAAGCGATGTGCACTTAAGTTGCAATTCTGCAATACGGGCACTATAGCCACGTTTACAGCTGGTGTTAAGATGCATTTTGGTCACAAGTGGACAACACTAAATACACGTGTAAACGGGGTTTTGAGCTTGTTCACTTTCGATCACTTCTAGAGGTAGTTGAAAACGCATTTAACCGGATTGCTTTCGTAGTGTAAACATCCATGTGGTCAAATGTGAAAGATCTGAAAAAGCCAATATATTTCCCCCGCCTATAGACCCTCACCTCAAAGACATCAGGACAGAAGTGGTTTAAAGAGGACAAAAGTGACGGATTAAAACATCAGGTGTAAACGGGTGTGTGTCTCCCTCATCCACTTATGATCCGATCGACCAAAACACATCTTAATACCAGATGTAAACAGGGCCTAGAATGAAAAGAATAAATACTTAATATATCCACGATCTTCAGACACTCACCTTCAGAGCATCATGAAACACAGGAACTCCAGGATGGTTCGTACACGCATCTGCAAAACTCATCAGTCATGAAACTCTAGAGGGCGCAGGCTGATGGTCTTTTACATGCAATCTGCAAGCAATCACATCACTACTGCATGGCACAAGCTGATTGGCCTCTGCTGATCCTGCAGCCGATGAGATCGCTTGCTCAACATTTAAAAGTCTGGTTGTTTGTTTGCTGTAAGCTGGTCCTGAAGTTCCTCTGAACCCCTCCTCCTCCCCAGCTCCACCTGTCTAGATCTGCTACAGGATTTATGTATATTATTTATGCAGAAAGAGCATATCTTACATGATCTGTGTATCTATTAGCAGTAGCGAGTCCATACTTGCTCTGTAACAGTAATAATCAACAGCAGTGTAGCAGATCTAATCCACCAAGACCAAATACATTAACATTACCATAATTACATGCTAAAACTATCCAAGAGTTGTCATGATTGAAATTATTTAACACTTTTAAACACTTAATAATGTTACACGTGATTCTATTCAATCAATTATTTTAACGTTTGTAAATGATATAATCATTATTAGTGGCAGTGGTAGCCTAAATTATTGGTAATACATTTTTTACATTATTGTTCTTATTAAATTATTTTTTTCTTTTTCTTTTCATGAATACATTTTTCTTGAATCAGTGTAACTGAAACTGAATGACGGAGCAAAAACCATGTAAAACAATGTTTCAAGGATTTTCTGTAAATTGTTCATTTAAAAGTTCAAGAAAAAGCTCTATTATAATTAGGTGTAAACTTGGGTAACACTTAAAATAATATTAACAAACATTATATGCATGTTTGTCAAGCAGTGTCAGCGTGGCATATGATCACAAATATCAGTTTAATATATTTATTATTATTATTTAATAATAATAATTAATATAAAAATATACAATCTAAATTATTTTAAAGTTAATGCTTCAAGTAAAAAAATAAGGCAAACAAATTAAATTAAATGATGTGACATTTTCCTTTACAAATGCATGATCTTTTATACATTAAATGTTTGATGATCTTTTATTATTAAGGAGGATAGCACATAATTCATTGAGCTCTATAGTATGCAGTGCTGGCCAGTTCACAATAACACACACATGATATTCTACAAAGCAAGCTTATATATTTCTATTAACAACACTGCATATTTCTGACTCTGTTGTGTTTCTTACAGAAACAGAGCCATGCATGCTCTCGTTTGGCCATTGAAATGTAAGAGTAAGAAGGTAAATAATAGATAACAAAATAATAAGTAATATACAAAATACATCGCGATATACAAAATAATAAGTAACACTTTCGATCATGAATAAACTTTGTAACTAGATTAGTGTAACACACACTCACCCTCTGGATTGATTTCTGGATCTAATCGCTGCCCGCTCTCATATCACTGTTTTTAGTTGTTGGTTTGAGAAAAACTTGCCATCAAGAGGAATATGACAGAAATTAACATTGCAATTAGTAATTAACTGTGTTCAGAGACAGGAGGGGAAAAAAACAAGAAACCAGTAAAAGAATGTGAAGATTTATTTGGAAACATTAATAGATCATCATATAAAAAAATAGATTAATAATAAAAAACATATTTGACAGAAATAAATGTTCAGTGAAATTATTTGCATAATCTTTGTCTTCCTCGCTGGTATAATTTACAGTATCTCTTCTGTAGACAGACTCTTGATAAAACTTATAACACTTTTCCCAGCGCTGTCTGTATTGCACAATAAATCTATTGTCTAAGGCTTGTTTTCACTTTAACCGTTTGACACGTATTTTGAGTGTTTCACCTTCTACATTGTAATCAATATCTAATAAACTTGAAACAATTCAAAGCTGCTATTTTCAGCACTCATTTTCATGAGCCATTACTATTATAAAACAAGAAAGTGGTGTGAAGTCACACACACACGTCAGTGTGATCGCTGTGTGTTTCTGTGTCTTCAGTCTCTGTAGCGGCTCTTTATTCACCATCAGCTGATCCTGAGGAAACTGAACTGACGTCTAAACACAGAGTCCTACAATAAAACACACAGACACACACATATGAGTATGAGACATTACTGAGTCACATCACATCTGGAGATCATTTCAGGAAAACAGCCAGAGATATTAGTATATTCATATTACAGCCAGAGATATTAGTATATTCATATTACAGCCAGAGATATTAGTATATTCATATAACAGCCAGAGATATTAGTATATTCATTACAGCCAGAGATATTAGTATATTCATTACAGCCAGAGATATTAGTATATTCATTACAGCCAGAGATATTAGTATATTCATTACAGCCAGAGATATTAGTATATTCATTACAGCCAGAGATATTAGTATATTCAAATTACAGCCAGAGATATTAATGAAAAACTGGAAAAGATTAAGAACATAAAATGATAAACAACTCTCACTTCATCACACACACACACACACACACACACCACGTTTACATGCAAACAAATAATCTGTTAGTAATCAGATTGACGGCTCGGACTGAAAAGTCTTCATGTAAACTCCTTAATCGAATGAGCTCGATCTGAATGAAATCTCGATCTGATTGGGTGTTTTATTCCTTTTCTAATCCGATCGAGAGGACATGTAAACACTTGATCAGATTGAAAACCCAAACTGGAAAGTTCTGTGTGTGTGCAATGGCGTAATGACGTGTGATGCGTACGAGCTGTTGTAGTTGTTGAATGAAGTGTCATGAATGACCAACACAATCTCACGGCCTTCAGTCCTTCTCTCAGACTCTCATCCACAGGCTGTTTCGGGTGCAGGTACGGGTGTTTTTACTGTGTGATAAATATAAGCAGCGCGGCACAACGGTTCATGTGCTCATCGTCTCCTAACGAGGACCTGACTCGTAATATATTAATATTAAGTCTGCTGTTTAAAACAAACAAAGTAGGAGAATAGTATGTGCAAACAGTGGGAAATATTCGTGCAGTGTGTGTATGTCAAAAACTCAATTTGAACCTTGTGACATAAACACACACATCAACCCGATCACTTTATTTATCGTTCATGTAAACACTACGCTTGGATTCATCAATCAGAATGAATTAATTCCAATTTAAACAAAAGTTGTGCATGTAAACATGTAAGGGATGAAAATATTCATATAGACCTAGCCTATTCATAGATCATATTCACATCACAGAATTAAACTCTTATTAAAAACAGTTTACAGAGACTAAAGTGGAGCTGAATTATTATCTTATATTCTCCAGTTTCACACATATGAGACCTGTTACTGAGATTGGGTTAATTTAAAGACTTGGAGAAAATATACTCACAGTAGAGTAATGTCTTCAGTTTATAATGTGGATCATCCTTCAGTTCAGAGAGCAGCTTCAGTCCTGAATGTCCAATATTATTCCCAGTCAGATCCAGTTCTCTCAGGTGTTCAGGGTTTGATCTCAGAGCTGAAGTCAGAGCAGCAAAACCTTCATCTGTGACGCCACAATCCCACAACCTGTAGAGAACAACGACACACACTTCACTCTCTCAGTTCAGATCAGATCAGTTTAGCAGTGAATCCATTATTAAAGAGAAAGTTCAAACTTAAAGCACAAATTAATATGTTTGATGGATCATTAGATTGAGATCTAAAATGTCACAGAACATGATCATAAAACATCTAAAGTATTATTCAATCAGGAAAAATAATCTCTTATTTGCACTATATTAAAATTCGGTCTTGTCTTCAATTTGCTTTAATAAATGAGACTATTCACTACATAGGTCAGTTTTACTGTTACTAGATCTGTACTATGTAATATGCATGGAGTGTCAATTAGTGTGTGTGTGTGTGCGTGTGTGTTTTCATTTTACAAAATTAAAAACAATACTTTAGAAAGAGTCGATGCAGAAAGATGAACATAATTAACAGCAAGAATGAATCCAGCATGTTCTTCATCTCTCAGTTCTGACGGTGTTGAGCTCGAGTCTGTTTAAAGTCAAGAGACTGAAATGTTGATTGTGTGTGAAAGTGTGTATTTCAGTGTGACTCTCAGTCCTGCAGTTTCATGTTATTGAGGATCAGCTCATGTGTTCAATCATTTACAGCTCAATAATCTGAACTCACAGCAGCAGAAAGAGGCTGAACACTTCAAATATACTTTACATTGTGATTCATGTGTGAGAGTCAAATATGATCTTACCACAGTTTCTCCAGTTTACAGTGAGGATTCTGTAGTACACCAGACAGCAGATTCACTGATTCTCCTATTTTATTAAATGACAGATCCAGTTCTCTCAGGTGTTCAGGGTTTGATCTCAGAGCTGAAGTCAGAGCAGCAAAACCTTCATCTGTGACGCCACAATTCCTCAACCTGTAGAGAACAATGACACACACTTCACTCTCTCAGTTCAGATCAGATCAGTTTAGCAGTGAATCCATTATTAAAGAGAAAGTTCAAACTTAAAGCACAAATTAATATGTTTGATGGATCATTAGATTGAGATCTAAAATGTCACAAAACATGATCATACAACATCTAAAGTATCATTCAATCAGGAAAAATAATCTCTTATTTGCACTATATTAAAATTAATTCTTATGCAAAATCTGCTTTAATAAATGACACTTTTCACTACATAGGTTAGTTTTACTGTTAAGCCGACTGCACACTGTGTGATTTTGGCCGTCTGAGACAAATTTTGCAAATCCTAAAAGTTTCCTCTGATCTTAGGCCAAACCTGAAGTGTTTGATGGTTAGTTTGATATTAGAGCTGCACGACTGATCGAAATGAAACCGCACGCGATCTGGTAAAGGCTGTGATTATTTTATGCACAGTTTGTCAGTGAAGTACGGCTCTGTGATCGGTAGTAAATGCTGCTCGATCTGAAAGCCAGAGGGCGTCTCACACACACACACACACACACACACACACACACTATTCCCCACCGCAGAAGAACGATAACACACATCATTCCAGGAAACCCCTATGGGCATCATACTATCTGTAGCTGAATAAACAGAAGATTGAAACGCTTTGATTGATTTATTAAATGTTGTCTTTTGTTGGACTAAAGGTTCATAAAAGCTTCTCATGTTTGGAAAGATGTTTGATGTGTGTTGCTTTTTCAAATGCACATTAAAAGTGACTCAAACTCGCAGTGCTTTCAGATGGAGCAGCGTTTACTCCTGATCAGAGCCGTACGTCACTGACACGCTGCACATAATAAATAATCAAGCTTTTGTGATTTCATAATAGCGATAAGCAAAATCGGTTTAAGTGCGATTTCATGTTAATTGTGATTAATCGTGCAGCTCTATTTGATATGTTCACCGACAGCCGATTAATGACCGTTGCGTTCATATTTTACCTCGACGAGATTCTGGCAGTGTCAGAAGATTTGACTCAGTCCTGCAGTGTGAATTCTCCAACGACAACCGTCAAAATGTCTTTGTTTTTCTAGACAAGCCATGACCAAAATAAACAGAGATTTCTATCTAGCGACCATTTCAATCTCTCGTGTAACGCAGCTCACATCACCAAACGTGTCACTGATTGATGATGTAAAACGTGTTCAATCATTTACAGCTCAATAATCTGAACTCACAGCAGCAGAAAGAGGCTGAACACTTCAAATATACTTTACATTGTGATTCATGAGTGAGAGTCTAATATGATCTTACCACAGTATCTCCAGTTTACAGTGAGGATTCTGTAGGACATCAGACAGCAGATTCACTGATTCTCCTATTTTATTAAATGACAGATTCAGATCTCTCAGGTGTTCAGGGTTTGATCTCAGAGCTGAAGTCAGAGCAGCAAAACCTTCATCTGTGACGCCACAATTCCTCAACCTGTAGAGAACAACGACACACACTTCACTCTCTCAGTTCAGATCAGATCAGTTTAGCAGTGAATCCATGATTAAAGAGAAAATTCAAACTTAAAGCACAAATTAATATGTTTGATGGATCATTAGATTGAGATCTAAAATGTCACAAAACATGATCATACAACATCTAAAGTATCATTCAATCAGGAAATATAATCTCTTATTTGCACTATATTAAAATTCAGTCTTGAACAAAATCTGCTTTAATAAATGACACTATTCACTACATAGGTTAGTTTTACTGTTACTTAGATCTGTACTATGTAATATACATGGAGTGTGAATTAGTGTGTGTGTGTGTGTGTGTGTTTTCATTTTACAAAATTAAAAACAATACTTTAGAAAGTGTCAATGCAGAAAGATGAACATAATTAACAGTAAGAATGAATCCAGCATGTTCTTCATTTCTCAGTTCTGACGGCGTTGAGCTCGAGTCTGTTTAAAGTCAAGAGACTGAAATGTTGATTGTGTGTGAAAGTGTGTATTTCAGTGTGACTCTCAGTCCTGCAGTTTCATGTTATTGAGGATCAGCTCATGTGTTCAATCATTTACAGCTCAATAATCTGAACTCACAGCAGCAGAAAGAGGCTGAACACTTCAAATATACTTTACATTGTGATTCATGTGTGAGAGTCAAATATGATCTTACCACAGTTTCTCCAGTTTACAGTGAGGATTCTGTAGTACATCAGACAGCAGATTCACTGATTCTCCTATTTTATTCCATGACAGATTCAGTTCTCTCAGGTGTTCAGGGTTTGATCTCAGAGCTGAAGTCAGAGCAGCAAAACCTTCATCTGTGAGATAACAATCCCATAACCTGTAGAGAACAATGACACACACTTCACTCTCTCAGTTCAGATCAGATCAGTTTAGCAGTGAATCCATTATTAAAGAGAAAGTTCAAACTTAAAGCCCAAATTAATATGTTTGAGGGATCATTAGATTGAGATCTAAAATGTCACAAAACATGATCATACAACATCTAAAGTATCATTCAATCAGGAAAAATAATCTCTTATTTGCACTATATTAACAGGGTAGTAGCAGCACTACTGAATTTCAGTCAAATGTAAGGCTTTTTAAGACCTGAAGAAATCAAATTAATACCGTACATTAGGGGTTACGCAATATTGACAAAATTATATATTGATATTTTCAAAGTTTTGTTGATAATAATTAGATGATATTTTACTGATTGTGTTTTTGTACTGGTACCATGGCTGGTTTAGGCCTTTTGTTGACAGCTGACTCACAAAGATATTCATATTTTTCATATTCTATGCAGTGGTCAGTTCACAGCAGTGACAGAATTTTTTATTTTTTTATTAAGGGGGAATATTTGCCACTTTAAATTGATTTCCAGGGGCCTTTTCACCAATGTATGTACATGTTTTTCTAAACATATTAGAGGTAGGTATGCATCACCTGTTATGTCAAAATCTAACATTTAAATTAAATTCTATTAGAATAATAACACAGTCCAACGGTTACCAGTCAAATAAAATTATTAAATCAAAATCCATCTTTGCAGTGCAGAGGCGACACAGAAACTGCATCAAAACTGCCATTAATATATTTACATTACATTTACAATTGCATAAATACAGCTATGAGATTTTTTTATGCAGTATTTAAATATAAAATAATTTATCATTTTAATTAAAGGGTAGACTACTTTTAAATGTGTAACTAAAACCGTCAGTATGTGGCGGCAAGTGTCTTAAGTGAGTTGAGGGAGTCATTCATTCAACCGATTCGTTCAAACGGCTGATTCATTTGGGAAAGAAGCAAGTGACTGTTCATTGAATCATTAAAGTGATTCGTTCAAGACGCGCCCTGCTGAATTTCAGTCAAAAAAAATCATCGCTGTCTGTTGCATTGAGACTCTGCCACCGTTTCATTTCGAAATTTTCGTCGGCGAAATAAATGGAAAACAAACCATATTGAAAAGATTGTGTCTAAAAAGTAACTCACAATGTTAATTGTTAATTTAACGGTAACAGTATCACATTTGCAATTGTGCACAGGAAAACGGCACTCATATGATATATTTTAATATAACATAGGCTTATGATATAAATATAAGACAAAAACACATTGGGGACAGCTGGCTACCTATAACTGCACAGATCACGCTGTGAAAGCACAGGAGACAAAAGCGATGTCAGCTCGCAAGTGCTTCGTACATAGTTAAAACAATGATTACAATATCATCATAGACAATACGAATAGCTCACCCTTATGCACATAAAGAATGAACTTATTGAACATTACTAATTTTCTACGCCTTCTCTCCTCCTTTCGCGTGCAGGAGACATACGTAATATGCTGCCGCGAATGACAAATTGTCACGTGAACTAGCAAATCCACAAGAAAAAATATATATGTATGTGTTACGACCCTATGGTTTGTATTTTGTTATCTCTGTTGTTTTGTCAGTCTCTCAGTGTGTCTGTTTAGGAACGTCATCTGATTGGTTCCTGCAGGATGATTGGAACGCCCATCTGATGATTGCTGCTCGATCCTGATTGGTGCAGCGTGTTTTAAAAAGAGACATCACTTCCTTTACAGGAAGTCAGGAAATATTGGCCGTTTCTCAATATGCGTTCTTGTCTGTACTTGTGTTCTTGGGGACTTGTGAAACGTCATCAGTCACTGCCCAAGTACTGTTCCAATTCAAAGTTCACATCTAGCCAAGTCCAGTTCAAATCCCCGGATGTGTTCTTGATCCGCCCCGTTTACCGAGGATGCATCGAGAGGTGACTTGTGCGGACTTGAGACAGCCAGGTATCCCAGAATGCATCTCGCACCAACCAGCAAGCGTCAATAGCAGAGGAGAAAACCCGCGTAATATCAAAATACTACTGTTATTGTGTCATGAAATGTAATTTTAAGAGTGTTTCAGGCGAGAATGTGGTTATTTAAAACTCAAATCTGTGGTTTATTTATAAAGATAGCGCCTATTTGAAAAATGTCTCTGACGTTTTCGGAGTTGTGACATCCAGGCGTTCACCGGGTGTTCAACGCTCATCAACCCCGACTGGAACAGCTTTTCCTCGGCTAGTGCTTGACGTTTGCCGCTGGCTCTGATGTCTCTAGTCTAGTGGATAAACTTGACGTATAATTCGTCTTGTGTATAAGTCGATCTTCGGTCTCATTAAACTATTGTTTGTTCCTTGGCAAAAAATCGTTTTGGCTGAGGGCAAAGTGAAGTTTCATAACTTTATATATAGGCTATTTAACTTTAACTTTGTAGCCTATTAGAGGGCTTAGTTATGTTTTGAATTGTTTGCCTTATTTATCATTGTAGATATTATTAATCATTAAAACTGACATTTAACAAAAAGAGACAGGGTTGTGTAATTTTATTTTATATACTTTAAAATATATATATTTTTAAATTTATTTTAACATTCTCTTCACTATATGTACAATAAAATAAAATTACACAACCCTGTCTCTGTTTGTTAAATGTCAATAAAATAAATAATGTTTCATATTTTTAAACTGAAAACAAAAAGATCATGTTCATGTTTGCAGTGAAGGTAATACGCGTTACCTGAACCACATGGTCATTAGGCTACTATGTTTAAGATTTTTAAATGAAAAGAGACAGAGTGGTGTTTTATAACATATTTCGTTTTATTGTTGACGAAAAGAGGCAGAGTTGTAGCATTTCGTTTTATTGTTGCCTAAAATATACATAAAGAGATAACCGGAGTAGCCAGAGCGAGCTGAGTGACGCGATCAAGAACGCACTGTTCCATTTGCAGAATAACTGGACTCGCGTCCTCTCGTCCTCGGGAGTTCGTTCTCCTGAGTCGAACTTGGCAAGTCCGAACTACCAAGGACGCAAGTTCGAGGTTTGCGTACTTGGTATTGAGAAACGGCCATTGTGTTTTGAGCAGAGAGATTGTGATTTGAGTGTTAAGAGTTTTGAGACTGAGTAGCCTTTTTGTTTGTTTGTTTGTTTGTTTTGAAAGAGAGAGTTTGTGATTTGAGACTGTTAAAAGTATTTGAGTGTTAAGAGTATTGAGACTGTGAGTACTGTTTGTTTATTTGTTTTGAAAGCTGTTTGTATCTGAATATCCTCATTGGTATATTTGACCCTTTGCCTGTTTTCTGACACTGATTTGGTCTGCCCTTTTCAGTTTGTTTGCCTGGCTGTATATATTGTAAATACTGATTGATTTTTGGGAAAGTAGGGAGCTCGACGCCATGTAAACTGTTTAATCTCTGTTTTTGGTTAGGGAGATATGGTTTATTGATTGTATCTTCATTTTCTTTTCTTTTGGGTTAAGGTTTAGGAAAGAGGTTTAAATTTAAGGTTGTTTTGTTTGTTATTTTGGCTTTGTCAGCTCCTGAATCGTAAGTCCCAAACATAGACTGTAAAAAATATGGACAAAGCGTCTGTGACGTCACCCATAGACTTTCTGAAGAACGGTTTTGAGGCTGTTTATGGGTGGTATGGGCGGTGCCATCTTGGAAAATCTTACGATATTTCAAATACAAATGTTCATAAAGGATACAGAGGTGGTATGATGTGTTGTGTCAGATCATGGCCGAGACGTCAAATTTCAGGAATTCCACTCGGCGCTGCCCGTTATCAGCTGTCAATCACGCGCTTATTTGTCATACATTTTATATCTAAATACGATCTAAACTAACGAGTTAGAAAAAAATTCACCCCCCTCACAGTTGTCAGGCACTCGGTACCTATCGAAAAATACAATAAAAGTCCATGGGACCAACCTGTAAAAACATGAATTTATGCTGTGAAAACTGACATTTTAACATGCGGGTCTATGGAGATTTGCTCCCTTTTGGGACCTCCCTCGGGGGTTTTCGATGTATTGCAGTTTTTCGCACTTCCGGGTAGGCTTCATTTTTCAGATTAGAATGTTGCCGCTTAGTCCCAAATTAAGAAAATAAATAACTTCCAATTCCTCGCTTTTCGTTGACTCTTTCATGTTGCCCCTTTCCCCCTAGACCAGTGGTTCTCAACCTTTTTTTTCAGTGGGCCACACTATGTCTAAGTTCAAGTTTCACGGGCCGCATATCATTTACATTTGGCGTCACCAATGCAAACTAAGATATTGAGCATTAAGGTATCTAAATGATTACAGTTAGATTTATTATTATTATTAGAGAGTATAATTCTACTTACCATTAATGAGACACCTGATGTTGTCGGGAGCAGACCAATTTGGTGAAATTTGGCTCAAAAGGAGTAACAGCACAATGAAGTTGTGACTGTAAGTTGCAGTCTGTAAGACGTGCACGGAAACGTGACTTGATGCGCGTCATTGCAGAAAATGTGCGTTCGCAAATGTATGTCGACCCAAATATGGAAAGCACTTTTGAACTTAATAATCTGAGGTTTTGTCCAGAGATGTTTCGCCACATTTCTGTAACTGAGGATGACTGTTGCGCGGTATGGCTGTGTCCTCTTGCCTGAACATCCATCAGTTCATCTTCGAGTGCGCGGCGGGACAAACCGAAAGTTGCAGCCAAGTCCTTGATTTTTTCCACAGGGAAAGTCAATGGCTCTCTGATGAAATGTCCTGCAGATTTTATTTTCTCAAAATCAGAAAAACGTGAGGTGAATTTTTCCTGCATTTGACTGAGAGTTTTAACGAATCGTTCTTTCTGTTGTATGTCCAGTACACCCTCACACACGTCATTCAGAAGTGGAAAGTGAGTTAAATCATCATCTTTGAGTTGTGCCGTGTACAGCCCTAGCTTCATTTTGAAACTCTCAACACAGCTCAACAGGTCATCAACATGTTTTTCTTCACCTTGAAGTTGTAAGTTCAGCTTGTTTAGGTGAGCTGTGACGTCTGAAAGAAAAGCAACGTTTGTTTTCCACTCATTGTCTCTCAAGACTGGAAATCTTTCTCCCTCGCCAATGTCATTAAGAAAGTTTACTATCTCGGGGAGAACAGCCAGAAAGCGATGCAAGACTTTTCCACGACTTAGCCATCTCACTTCACTGTGCAGAATGAGGTCTCCGTAAGCACTGTCCAGTTCGCCCAACAACGTAATAAAACGGCGGTGCATAAGAGGCCGCGCTCGAATGAAATTGACCACCTTGACCACAGTGTTCATAACCTCCACGAAGTATCCATCAACGAGCTTGCTGCATAGTGCTTGTTGATGCACAATACAGTGAAATGCCAACAAGTCAGGGGAGATTTTTCGCATTTCAGCTACGAGACCCTTGTGTTTTCCCGTCATTGAGGGCGCACCGTCAGTAGTGATGGAGACAACTGAGGATTCCGGTACGTTCATGTCTTTGCATGCTTCACTAAGTGCTCTATAAATGTCCTCGCCCCTTGTTCGTTCATGTAGCGATTTCAATGCCAATAAATCTTCTGTAACCTCAAAAGTCTCAGAATTCACGCATCTCACCCAAATGCAAAGCTGAGCAACATCTCCGATGTCTGTCGATTCATCCGCAGCCAAACTGAGTGCTGAAGCAGTGGCTAGCTTAGTTTTTAGTTGTTCTGTCAAATTCTCAGACATTTCAGAAATTCGACGAGTAACTGTGTCATTGCTGAGCTGTAAACTTTTTATCCTGCGAATTATCTCGCTCTTGTTGCTCAGGTCATCAAACAGACATTGTGATTCCAGAAAACAGTTCTTAACTAGCTCTCCATCACTGAATGGTTTGCCGTGTTTGGCAAGGAGCCAGGAAATTTTGAACGTTGCTAATGTCACGGCCTGAGACACTTTTAAGCTAGCTCGCATTGTATTCTGTTCAACAATGGCATTTTTTTCAAGACTAGTTATCTTGAAAGCTCTTTCCTGAGATCCAGGTGGATATTTCGTGTCAAAAGTTGCATGGGTGGTATCAAAATGCCTTTTGACATTGTAAGTTTTACATACGCCCAGTATTTTATTACAGAGCAAGCAGAAAGGCTGTCCATCTCGCTCGTTGACAGCAAACTGATTCTTCCATTCTTCAAGCACTTTCCTACCTTCACTGCTGATGCTACGACTCTTCTTGTTTGCACGTGTTCCTTTATCAGTATTTTCCTCGCATCTTTTTTCTCCTCTAATAACAAATTTGTCCATTTTGATCGTTAATTGATGCGTTTAAAATCTGCCAGAGCGCGCGCTTGCAATTGTGTGCGTTAACTGTGTTATTGTGAGTTCATAGTTGCGTCAGTACTGCGCATATGTGAAACCAGTAGCCTACATGATCACCAAAATTATTTTGACAAAAAAATAAATATTGTTCAAACTTATATTGGTTTAATAAATAAAATAAAAACAATAATGAAATATGAATTGTAAAACAATACGTTTTTTTTTTTTTTTTTTTTTTCGTGATCAGCATCATGGGCCGCATCAGCATTTGCGACGGGCCGCATGCGGCCCGCGGGCCGCGGGTTGAGAACCACTGCCCTAGACGGTGTGTAACAGTATGCTAGTTAGAGAGTTTTAATTTAGATACGTCAAAGTGTCATCTAACATTTAAGACATTTCATAAGTAAAAATAAGACTTTAAGACTTTATGGCCTTAAATTTGAAAAATCTAATTTAAAACTTTTTAACGATCCGTGGGGACCCTGAATAAAGTAACACTAAGTAGTTTTTCAACCTTCATAATATATTTCCAAGACCCTTGTGATGGTACATCGACTTAAAATAAGTTAAATGACACGTCTGCCATAGCCTGACGTGGTCTGTATCGCTTTTACTGGCACTATGTAACTTCGGGTTTCGGGTAGGAACCCGTGCACAAAAAGAACTACAAAATTCGACTGCTTTACGGCATACGTCACTTCCTCCACCACTTCCTCAAATTGTCTGTGGCTATTGCAGACATCCCAAGTCTACCGGGAGTCTCCCGCATATTGATAGCGTCTCCCTGATGCCCGAAAATTAGTTCAAATCTGCCGGAATCTAGAGCGCGCATGCGAGACAAAACATACTGCGCGCATAACATACAGCAGAGAGGGAGGGAGCGAGAGACCTTGCGAGTGTGCCTCACGAAAGCTAGTCAACCCGCCACCCGTCGCCCCCCCCCCCCTCCCCCGTCAACAATCCAGTCACCAAGATAGACCTCACTGAAATGACTTCTTGCAGGTTGGGATGTCTGCCATTGTTGATTCCAAAGCCGGTGCTGGATAAACAGCGAGCGTGCGTTGCGACAGTAGGCTGCGGTAGGCTAAATTATTTACGACAGCGGTAATGGACAATACCGCTTCCAACCTGTAGGGCGACCGCAGAGGAAAAGTTCCTTGGTGTTGCTTTAAAAGTCAGTCTTGTGCAAAATCTGCTTTAACGAATGAGACTATTCACTAAATAGGTTAGTTTTACTGTTACTTACTAAATCTTACTAGTGTTTTCATTTTACAAAATTAAAAACGATACTTTAGAAAGAGTCAATGCAGAAAGATGAACATAATTAACAGCAAGAATGAATCCAGCATGTTCTTCATCTCTCAGATCTGACGGTGTTGAGCTCGAGTGTTTAAAGTCAAGAGACTGAAATGTTGATTGTGTGTGAAAGTGTGTATTTCAGTGTGACTCTCAGTCCTGCAGTTTCATGTTATTGAGGATCAGCTCATGTGTTCAATCATTTACAGCTCAATAATCTGAACTCACAGCAGCAGAAAGAGGCTGAACACTTCACATATACTTTACATTGTGATTCATGTGTGAGAGTCAAATATGATCTTACCACAGTTTCTCCAGTTTACAGTGAGGATTCTGTAGTACATCAGACAGCAGATTCACTGATTCTCCTATTTTATTCCATGTCAGATCCAGTTCTCTCAGGTGTTCAGGGTTTGATCTCAGAGCTGAAGTCAGAGCAGCAAAACCTTCATCTGTGAGATAACAATCCCACAAACTGTAGAGAGATGAAAATCAAATAGCATAATTTAAACACTATCAAATAGCTTTCCAATAAATTCCAATTCCAATATAATTTAACAAATGTAAAATTCTTATCCAAGGTTCATGGTCAAATGTTTCTATTTACAATGTGTTTTTTCAGCGGTAAGAAATGTAGCCAATCACAGACATGTTTGCTGATCTCTTTTTTGTTCAGTGCCGAGTTCTTCACGCTCACGAATCCTCTCATTAACAAAAAGACAGATTTTATTTTTCTATTGTTTATAATGTAACTTTGTGAGATTGTGAACTGAGATGAGTGACAGCTTTATAATGATTGTAAAGGGAGCGCTCTTCCGAGGTTATACATAATCCATTGAATAAAAGTTGTGTTTTTCTTGCTGCTGAGAGGACCGATGGCCAATTACACGCTGCAAAACGGCACGTCAAAATAGATACGCACAACAAATTAATAGATATATAGAAAAATATTCATATCAATATATTTTTGAAATTCCATTTCAAATATTTGTAAAAGTATTGACTTGTAAATAATCTTAAATGACTCATTGTACATTGCTATTCTTGTTATGTAAGAGTCGTTGCTACACATTAAATCTGCACTTTACTAGAGAACCATCACTAATTTCACACACTCAGTGATTTGATTCTTAATTGTCAATCTCACAGTAAAATTAAAATGTGAAGTTTGTCAACTTTAAGCTAAACATCAAGTTAATGTTTAATTGTCCATCTAATAGTCAAATATAAATGTATGACTCTGCTATGTAAACCTTACATCAAATGTTTTTTAGGAGATTTGAGCTACTTGATAAATGAGTTTCTCCAGTTGTTTACTTGGTCTTCATTTCTTTTATCATTTATTTTAAATATTTAAATTCTTTCTTTATGTGCAAGAACATTCAACTAGTAAACCTGAATTTATTTGCCTGAAGGAATTTTACATTGTCACGGTTTAAGAAACACATCAAATACTGACCACTGAACTCTACACAACATCTGCAGCACTGAAGATTTATGAACTTTTATTTTCCTAATGTTTTAACAGTGAACTGATTGTTCTGATTGATACTTACTGAACTGATCTGGATTCTTTAATCACAGGAAGCAGCTTCTGAAGAACCTTTAGTTTTTCAGTTTCATTGTCTATTCCAACAAAATCATTAATATCAAACTTGTCCAGCTTCTCCTCTGATGTCAACAACACAAAGACTACAGCTGACCACTGAGATGAAGAGAGTTTGGCTTTCTTTATTCTTCCAGATTTCAGATACTGTTGTATTTCCTCCACTAGTGAACGATCACCCAGTTCATTCAGACAGTGGAACAGATTGATGGATTTCTCTGGAGAGTCGATGGTCCTGATCTTCTTCTTGATGTACTCAACTGTTTCCTCATTGCTGTCAGATCTGCTTCTTGTCTGTTTCATTAGTGTTTGTAGAAGAATCTGATGAGACTCCACTGACAGACCCAGAAGAAACCGCAGGAAAAGATCCAGATGTCCATTTTTACTCTGTAGAGCCTCATCCACAGCTCTCTGATGCAGCGCAGATAATGACACATGTTTAAACATGAGCTGAAACCAGTCCTTAACTTTAGACAGTAAACTCTGTTTAGTGATTGAGTCAAACACATTTCTGTTGTTGATTGTACAGGAGAGATGCACATATAGAGCCGCTAGATGTTCCTGAACACTCAGATGAACAAAGCAGAAGACTTTCCCCTGATACCAGCCAGACTCCTCTCTGAAGATCTGAGTGCACAATCCTGAGTACACTGATGCTTCTGTCACATCAATGCCACACTCTCTCAGGTCTTCCTCATAGAAGATCACATTACCTTTCACAAGCTGCTGAAAAGCCAGTTTCCCCAGTTTGAGGATCATGTCATCTGTCACGTTCTTCTCATAGTCCTTCTCATGTGTGATGTTGGTCTGAAGGATCAGGAAGTGTGTGTACATCTGAGTGAGAGTCTTGGGAATCTCTCCTCTCTCTGCTTTGCTCAACATCTTCTCCAGAACAGCGGCTGAGATCCAGCAGAACACTGGGATGTGGCACATGATGTAGAGGCTCCTTGAGGACTTCAGGTGTGTGATGATTGTATTGGCCAGACTCTGATCACTGACTCTCTTCCTGAAGTATTCCTCCTTCTGTGGATCATTGAAGCCTCGTACCTCTGTCACTCGATGGACACACTCAGACGGGACGAGATCGGCTGCTGCTGGTCTGGAGGTGATCCAGATGAGAGCAGAGGGAAGCAGATTCCCCACAATGAGGTTTGTTAGCAGCACGTCCACTGATGTCTCTTTGCTCTGATCCCGTAGAGTCTCATTGTTGTGAAAGTTTAAGGGAAGACGACACTCATCCAGACCATCAAAGATGAACAACACTTCATATTTGTCACTGGATATTTCTTTAGTTTCAGGGAAAAAGACATGAAGAAGCTCTGAAAGACTGAGTGTTTTGTCCTTCATCAGATTGATCTCTCTGAAAGGAAGTGGAAATATGAGCTGGATGTCCTGATTCTCTCTCTCTTCAGCCCAGTCCAGGATGAACTTCTGCACAGAGACTGTTTTTCCAATGCCAGCGACTCCCTTTGTCAGCACAGTTCTGATGGGTTTGTCTTGTCCAGGTAAAGGTCTAAAGATGTCATTGCATTTGATCGGTGTGTCCTCTGTTGCTGCTCTCCTGGATTGTGTCTCAATCTGTCTCACCTCATGTTCATTACTGATGTCTCCACTCTCAGTCTCTGTGATGTAGAGCTCAGTGTAGATCTCATTCAGGAGTGTTGGGTTTCCCCGCTGTGCTGTTCCCTCATACAGACACTCAAACTTCTTCATCAGATTTGATCTAAACCTGTTGAGGACTTCATGGCTGTAAAATCAAAATACCACAGTATTAATAAGCACAATGTCTTTTTTTAATCATATATTTTGTTTTCAATGTAATACCTGAATGTATTTCCAATCTTAAAATCTACTGGCCGAATCATAGACCCGTCAATCCTCATAGACACACAGCTGGGCTCTGGTTCTGATCTCTTCTGATGAACTGAACTATAACAGTTTAAAGTTAAACATATTTGCCATTTTCAACATATTACATATTTATTTATCAATAAAACAATCACTTTTCATGATTATTTAATTTATTTAATTAAATTATTTAATTATTACAAAAATTGTACATTGATTATTTAATTATTACAAAAATTGTACATTGAAATGAGTTCTTTCACAGATGTGTCTCTGTGTGAGCAACACTATACTGTATGCATTAAAATATTACATTAAAACATTCTTCTTGTACATTTTTTATATCTTGTAGAATATATTACCAATAATGTTCTGATAATATAAAATGCCATACTATAATCATATTTTTATAGAAATGAAATACCTGAGATCAGTCTGTGTATCTTCACTCTTAAACTGTACTATATGATCCATAGACGCGTCACTCCTCATAGACACACAGCTGGGCTCTGGTTCTGATCTCTTCTGACGAACTGAACTATAACATAAATAGATTAAAGTTAATACATTGAATTGCTGTATTTAAAAATCACATATTCATTTATCCTTAACAATGTTGATAAAACAACCTGTAAAATGAAGTAAGTGCTCTCATATCCGTCTCTCATGAGTGAGTAACACTACATACATTAAAATATTAGCTACACATAATAAAATCACTGTAAGCAATGTACAAAAAAAACTCTCATATCTTGTAGAATATATTACTGATTATATTCTGATAATATAAAATGTCATACTATAATCATATTTGTATAGAAATCTAATACCTGAGATCAGTCTGTGTATCTTCACTCTTAAAATGTATTATAATATCCATAGACGCGTCACTCCTCATAGACACACAGCTGGGCTCTGGTTCTGATCTCTGATGAACTGAACTATAACAAAACAAAAAAATTATCATTGGTGATACAATTTTAATATAAGTTCTTAAAAGGTATTTTAATTAAAGGAGTGGCTGGTCTAATTGTTTTCAATCAAATTAAGTTTTTAACTTAATAAAAACATCTTCTTGACTATAATTTAAAGAGGATTTAATCTGTAGTTTATTCAAAATACCTGCATCCTGGATACAAATCTCCATCTCTGGATGTTTGAGTCTCATCCATGATGAAGCTGAACAGTTGAAACAGAATCTGATCTTCACCACTGACTCTGAATGGAAATGACAAACAAACACAATAATTCACAATAATTCAGCAGAACGGATCCTGAGATTCAGAAACAGGATCATGAGACAGTTCACTCAAATACACACCGTTAGTCGTATATTAACACAAATGCTAAATAAATCACAGACAACACGAAACAATGAAAGCATGTTTTACTCTAAAATGAAAAATATAAAACACATATAAAATAACTAGCATGTCCTTTAGGGGAAATAGGCTAATATTGGCCTAAATGCGGAAGTCACCTGTAAAACGTCTCGAGACCGGAACACTCACCTTGTTTATCACATTCAGATTCACAAAATCCACCGCCGTTTCTATCAAGCAGTTACACGTAAATTCGTGTATTATCTTTTGCGAAGGTTTCCATGAAACACTTTGGATTTGATACGCAGTAGAGAATTGATTCTGGATGTTCAAATGGCGAAACATCAACTCTGATAATGTCCTTTCACTTGCGCAAAAACAATGATGGTGTCAGTTTTATTTGTAGCTGTCAGTGTGTCTAAAGGTCACCCAAAATGATATTCACACACTCATTAGACGCTTTTAACATTAAGTTAAGCACATAAACACCTGAGATTTTCATTGTCATACTTTGTAAGTTTATATTCCAGCCGCGAGTTAGATCCGTCGACTTCGCAGAAATCGAAACCGAAAAAAAAAAAGAATCGTCACGTGGTCGCGGCATGATGCACGTGTTGCGGCGTCGTGTCTGGTTTGAACACAGTGTAAAAACTGACAGTCAATGTAGAATGAATGTAAAAATTGTTGATAAAACATTAATGTGATGGAATGGTTTTATATTTAAAAAAATTCTAGAGAAATTTTCCCTAATAAAGCACTATATTTTACACAAATAAAATCTCTAGAGAATGCATGCTCAAATGATTAAGCAAGTAAAATCTCCCGAAGTAAGACTGAAAGTCAAATTTGAGAGTACAGTACAATAATTTAATGTTTACAGTAACAGTTCATTAATAAAAAAACCAACTGGTAAAATTACTAGTTGACTGTTGTAATGTCAAACAAAAATAACCAAAATTGCAGCAGCTCCAACAGTTAAATATAGGCCTAGTTAGTTAGGTATTTGGATGCATTCGTTTGATATTTACTTTCTTTTGATAAAGTTTTAATATTATTATAATATTAATATAAAGAATGTTTTATAGGCTACTTCTATCCCTCACAGCTTCATTTTCATTCACATCTAAACTGATTAAAGTGTAAAGCAAGAACAGTCATGATGTGCTCTTCCTACACAATCTATATTATGAGATTATGAACTCCAATAAAATAAATCAATAATCTCACTGATTTGCCAGATCATACAGCGGGTGAGGATGCAGGTTTAGTTGATCACTGCTGTCTGAGAGCCTGAGCGAGTCGGCGGGAGTCAAGAGATAACTTTCTCTTGGTCTGGATTCTCTTTCTTCTCATTGGTCGGTTGAGACACGGTGTAAAAACTGACAATGTAGAATGAATGTAAAAATAGTTGATAAAACATTCATCTGATGGAATGGTTTTATAAAAAAAAATCCAGAGAAATTCTTCCTAATAAAGCACTATGTTTTACAAAAATAAAATTTGAGAATGAATGCTATTTGAGCATTTGGCAAGTACAATCTCCTGAAGTTAGACTGAATGATCAGACAGAAAGACAAATTTGAGAGTACAGTACAATCATTTAATGGGTGGTTCTTCAACAGGCACTTTTGGCCTTGTGAACTTGAGGGGGAAAAAAGTGTTCAAATCAAAATTGTTACAGTCTCAGTTAAAGGAGCTGTATGTAAGATTGTGGCCAAAACGGTACTGCAATCACTTTCAAATTACTGTAGAGCGGTGTATCCCCTCCCCCTCCCCCCTGACTCGAGGTTGCCAGATCGGCTGCATTTTTTTATCCGACACGTGTGTAGCTGCAGCTGTGGTAACTAGAGCAGAGCTGGCAACCCGGATGGCGCAACACTACTGACTTTGTGAATGGTCGATAGGTGGAGGGTGTAGCAACAGACCAAAACACAACATGACAACATCAACATCAGTTGAGGGCTGCAACTTCACTTTTTGAATGACAATATCCTGGCCGGACTACTGTTGTCAGTGATATAAGTATTTGAAATGAACATGATTTCTCAATGTCTAGTGACATATCAGGGCCATTTTATGATTAATTCAAATAAATTTCTTACATACAGCTCCTTTAAATATAACTAGTCTAGTTTAATGATCCATAAGCGAACGCACTTACATTATAAGACAAATTGGTGTTTTTTGACATATTTTCCGATCCGCACTGAACAAATGTCATTTCCATCACATGTAAATATTTGATTATTATTTTAAAATATTATGATATAGATAATTTCTTAACAGTGTAAGACCACTTTCACACATAGTATTACCAGTTTATACCTATATTGCAATTACCATAGATTTGTGGATTAAGTAAATTAATTGTCATGAAGCCCAAACACAAAGCTTACATCCACCACAACTTGAAATATAATATTGGATTGGTTAGATACATTTTAAAAAAATAACTACTAGTGTTATTACATTAAGTGGACCATTATCCCATAAACTATGCTGAAGTTTTTAATGAGTGATTAGAATTGTGTATATATTTTTTAAAAAGTTATGAGGGGGTGGAAATGACTGGTTGTTGTGGAAATGACAATGAATGGACGTCCATGTAGAAAAACAGAAGACTTTTATTTGAAACTTTCTGAAACAGACAATTCCATTTAACAAATCATTAATCTCATTAGTCATTAGTTTGTTTGGTTCTGTTTTGGTATAGGACTGAGACCTTTCTGCAGTTGACTTCCGCGGCATCTTAAAAATAGATGAAAAGGCATTTCAACAAATATATATTTGAATAAATACATTAGCATTGTACATTTCAATAAATAAAATATACATATGTAGCCCCACAATCTATGAATTGCACCTTGTAAGCATAAATGTCATTTCCACCTCACCTTTGTCATTTCCACCCAAGAAGGAATGTGTTGGAAATGACAGCGGTGGAAATGACAATCCTGCAGTATTTTGGAAAAAAATCCAAGCTAGTATTACAGATTAGCTATGAATTGGTAGCTAGCATTGCATGCACGCAAAATACATCTATTTATGTTAAAAAATCTATTTATTTATAAACTCAATTGATCTTACGCCATGTTTGGAAATGACATACAATAAAAATATTTTCATTTCAAGCAATATTTACCTTGAGTTTTCTTCTCCAAGTTGGTGAATAAATTAAAAGTCTCCTCCATGTCAGACATGTGCTGTGATGTCATTGTTCATCTCCATAGAAACTACCCAAACAATCTTTCAAAAAAGCCTTTTAAAAGGGACATTACATCGTTGTGGTGGAAATGACGGCAATACTGTGGGACAACTACATTTTGTATATAAAATCACATTAATAGTTGTCTGACCTTAAATACCACAATTATGTTTTGATTATTTTACTGATACTTTATACAGTCATATAAAAAAAAAACAGATAAATCATTTTTTTTACACTTCTTTTTCATTATTGAAGATCAGAAGTCTGGGTGTGGGACAAGCACAAAACAGCAATATTTGCATCTATAATGATATTTAAAAAGGTGAAAAAATCATCGTAGACTACCGGTAAAAAGTTTCTAAAGTACTTTCATTGTAAAGTTAACTGAAAGTGTGAATTTTTCAAAATTAAATGTTTTTTATAAAATATGATCAAAGGACATGAAAGTGCCCATAGTCTAAGAATTGCCCGTTTACAGTAACATGAGTCTCATTAACTCCATCAGATGCACATAAACACGTTTATATTTCATTCTAGTTTTCAGTGATTTACTGCAGTTTATTTCTAGAAAGCCAAACCCGAGTAAAGCCCCGTTCACACTACACGCGACCAAGCGACGCGATACCATTCATTTCAATGGTGAGTGGGCGACTTCCGGCGACACGCGCGACAGCGTCCGTTGGCGACCGGATGGGGCGTGTCTGGCGACGTGACAAAGTTGAGATCTGTTTAACTTTATGCAAATGGGGAGCGACTTTCGGGAGCGAAAACCAATAGGAGCGGAGCGCGTATAATCCTTCTCCACATCATTGGATGTCATTCATAAAGGCAACCAGTAGTGGGAACTCCCACTAGCGACCTCATCGCCAGCCACTGGCGACATGCAGCGACAAAGTCGCTTGTAGTGTGAACGGGGCTTAAGAGTCTGAAGGTGATTTATTTTCCTGTCGACTACATTCATGACACGACATTAACGAAAGATCCCAATCCATGACACAAGCAAACCTAATCCAAGCTGAATTAAGACTGTTAAACTTATACTCAGCTAAGACTGTTGTTTAGGAAGTGAATGTGCATGAATATTAAGGCTGTAAATCATCAAAACAACATTTAATGATAAAACAACAAAAAGGCAACAAATATATTTGCTTGTATAAATGTTGACAGCACTAACATAACAGAGGAAATAACCAAAATACAGATTTAATTTTTTTCATTTTGTTTGATATTTTGATGCGCATTAATGGGACTCATCTTACCCTCACCTCTACAGGAAAGCTATAATAAAAAAAAAAATCTGTTTTATTGCTATATTGAAATTTTATAATTCAGTGAAATCATTTTAGAAAGACTTTAGATGCCATATTGAATCTGACACCAATGAAAACAAGACTGTGAGAGATATTAAACGAATTGTTCACCCAATAAAATTAGCATTTCCACAAATTAAGTGGAAAAAATGTGCAGGGGGAGAAAAACAAACAAAAAGTGATGCTTCATTGATGTCATGTTAAAATTACCGTAATTAAGAGTTCCTGATTAATAAAACCATCTAGTTAAATGTGTTATTACCTGTTGACTGTTGTGATGTGATATAAAAATAACTGCAATTGCAGCAGCTCCAACAGTTAAATATAGTTAGTTAGGTATCGGTATGCATTAGTTTGATATTTACTATATTTTGATAAAGATTTAATATTACTATAATATTTATATAAAGATTGTTTAAACTTTCATCCCGGACCCTCACAGCTTCGTTTTCATTCACATCTAAACTGATTAGAGTGTAAAGCAAGAACAGTCATGATGTGCTCTTCCTACACAATCTATATTATCAGATTATTAAATCAATAAATCAATAATCTCACTGATTTGCCAGATCATACAGCGGGTGAAGATGCAGGTTTAGTTGATCACTGCTGTCTGAGAGCCTGAGCGAGTCGGTGGGAGTCAAGCGGTCATTTTCTCTTGGTCTGGATTGTCTTTCTTCTCATTGGTCGGTTGAGGCTTTGGAGGGGGCGTGTCCAGCCGCGCCCAGGTTATAGGCTCCGCCTTCTTCATGACCACCTCCACTTTAGAGGCCATCATGTTAACAACACTCTTACTGATGTCAATCACCTGTCAAACACACAATATATCAACAAAACGACACAAATACACTGCAAAATCATGAACTTTGAATTCTTCTTTTGTGATTAATATACAGGGACAAAACCATTCAATGGATTATGTCTAATAAACACACAGGTATTGTGCTTTTCCTCTTTTTTGTGCTGTAACGCTCATCTAATGGATGAAACTCACACTATAAATCATTGACTTGAAAGTGTTAAGTCTCTTTTTCTCACTTTTTAGTACTAATGTAATCCAATCAAATATGGCATAAATAAATGGAAGTATGAGAATTACATACAAATGAATACAAACAAATGTAATATTATAAGTAATTTATTTAATATATATATATTAAAATGTCACCTTTGAAAACAAGTTTGTATGTAGGCACAATTTATATTTGTCTACCAGTGTTGTTTATTATTTAAATACTATTATAGTATATTCATTATTTTGAATTAGGTTAAAAAAAAATATTTTCAGCTTTCATTTTAATTTCACTTTTAGTATCTTTGCTTTTTGTAATTTTTATTTATTTTAAACTTTAATATATTTTTATTTCAGCTTTAGTAATTTCAGCGCTTCAACTTTGAAATGATTTCTCACTTTTTTTTTTTACTTTTCATCTAATATTTAAATTTCATTTTATTTCAGCTTTATTTCAATAACACTGTTGTCCACAAAGTCATTTCATGCAGTTAAGATGATTTTAGAATAAAAGTTTAGGATCATAAATTCAAACTTTTCAATACAAAAGTGTAAAAAAAAAGAAAAAAAAAAAGTTGATCAAATTATCTGAACAAATAGTGTTATTATAGTTAACTAAAAGTAAAAAAAAAACCTTTTGTTACTTTAAATAAAATAAAACATCAACTGAAATAAAATGAAATATAAACATTACAAACATTTTTTTGACTTATTGTAGTTTGACTTATTCAGCCGTTTGCCAAGGTGACATTTTAGTTTAATTTGAAGTACTAAAATGTCAAACTAAAACTGAAATAAAAAGTAAACTAATAAAAAAAAAAATCAAAAACTAACAAAAACATACCTACAAAAAAAACTCAAATTAAAATTCAAAATATAAAAAATAAAAGCTAGTTCAAGATATGAATAAATCAATAATGTTATCTCAAAGACACTAAATGTGTTTTGACGCAGATAATGGATGGATACTGAAACTCACCCCCCACAGGCTCATCTTCAGCTCAAACTCTTTTTCTCCCTCAAAGATCAGACGGATTTTCAGCTGCCAAAAAAATCATTCATCAGACAACAAAAGTACAGACAATTAATAAATAACATCACCACACTGGACAATGGCAAAAACACATATATTGCACAGTATATCACTTTAAACAGTCGAACTCCCTCACCGAGATGCTGTTTGCTTCCACAGAACAAAGCTCAGGATTCGAGTTCTTTGCATAGATAGACATGGTCACATGACTTCCTGTCTGGTGCCAATCAAATCGACATGGAGCCACTTTGTTACCCTGCAGGCACAGAAAACACACGCGTTTGAGAATCATAGTAAATCATGTGATATTGACCTGATGGATGTGAAGCCATTGCTCGGCTCACCGTGTGTTTCCTCCACTGGTGTGATCCTTTATTACAGCCGTCCTGAGACAGGAATGAGTTAAAATCAGACGTCTTCCTCTTACAGCAGCTCCAGTACTTCATCCTGAAACCATGCATGCGCATAAAATACCATCTAAAAAGATGAAATAGTCGCTTTTCAGAGTCAGTTATAAACTCTCCTCACCCCTCGTGAAAGATGGGCACTCCGGGATGATATGAACACGTTTCTGCATCAGTCTTTGGTCCGTTGTATGTCTGATAATCATAATGGCATAATATTAGCACACATATTTCATAAAAAAAAAAAGGTTAATACTACGGAATACAATAAGGTTCCATCTGTTAACATTAAGTATATTAGTAAACTTGAACTAACACTGAAAAATACTTCTAAACAATTTATTAATCTTCATTTTAAAATATACTTATAGATAAAATAGATAAAATCTAAAATTTTACCTGTTAATATTATGTAATGGGCCTGAGCTGACATTAACTACCATTGAACAGTTGTATTTTTTTATTGACAAAGATTAAAAAATACTGTGACAGATGTATCACTCAGTGTTAGTTAATGCATTTAATGATGTTTAAGAGGCCATATTATGTCTTGATTTTGTTTTTGGGCTCTACAAGAATAGGTTTTCATGCTTTCATGTTCAAAAAACACATTATTTTCCCCATATTCTCCATTGTTGCAGCTCCTCTCTTCCCAGTCTGTCAGTAACGCTCTGTTTAGTTCCTGTCTCTGTGAAGCCCCTCCTTCTGAAAGCACAATGTGCTCTGATTGGTCGGCTGGATCAGTGTGTTGTGATTGGTCAAGGGCTTCGAGTGTGTTTGGGAAATGTCCCGCCCCTTACCATAACCTCAAGTTTCAACACACTACTAACTAACTCAACAGGCTCCGCCCCTTTATTCTGCGTATTAATTATTTAAATGAGGAATATTGTGAAGTGTTTGTTCCCAGAAGAAACTCAAGACTACAATGGAGGCGTTTCAGGGAGTTCAGAAACACTGACCCTGATATAGAGAATAACTTTCATGTTTTAACAGCTGCATGAAACAGATGAACATGGAACATCAACAGATGAATATGGAAAAAAGCATAATAGGTCCTCTTTAAACTAACAGGAGTTTATTGTAAAGTGTTACCATACAGAAGAAATGTTTTCTAACCTTCGAGCAGCCTCCATTTTTACACGCCGTCCCAAATTTGACCTCACTTCCTTCCTCTTCTGAAGGTCAAAAAGATGCACATTTCAGGTTTTGCATGAGATGGTCATGTGACTAAATAAAACGAGAATTAATCTAGAACCTCCTGCAAGTTTATAATGATGTAACGTCACCTTTCTCTTGGAGCGGAGCGGCGTCTGCGAGTCTGAGTTTCTCGAGCGTCTGGTTCAGAGACGAGGAGACTTTCCTCTGCAGCTTCACCAGCGGCTCCTCAGCGCTGAAACAACATTTATAAACCGCTTTATACAATACAGATCCTACAAAAGCAGCTTTAGCAGCCATTATAATGATGATGATGAAGATGAGGAAGAGTTACCTGGGTCTCTGGATGAACTCCAGTGGTTTGGGGGCCTGGATGATATACTCATTAAACCTGGGTTTCAGATCCTCCAGCTCTTTCTTCTCTCCTGAGACCTTCACGTCTGGTTTCACGGGTTCAAGCGGCTTCTCGCTGTTATGAGGACCTTTAGTGCAGCCCTGACAGAGAACCAGCCAGAAAACAGGAGACATGTGCATGCATTCGCTTTATCTTAGTGACAGAATTCAGGGATATCGAAGAGATAAAGGAATCTTACATGGTTGTGATATCGGTTAGTAACTGACAGTTTGAGAATTAAAGCACATCAATGCAAAATAGAAAATAGTTGTTCTGTTTCTTTTCTTCTGAAGCAGCAGGCTGTATTTAGACACCATCCAACACAAAAACACATTTATTTGCGTGTAAGATGTTCTGCTGAGATCTGAGAATGAGACACTTACCGCAATACTAAGAAAATCCGAGAAGTCTGTTGTCCGTCTCTTACAACACGACCAACCCTGAAGAAAGTGATAAAGAAAGAAAGAGGGTTTGTTGGAATGTCTTTTAAAGGAAAAACATGCATTATTGCAACCAGAACAATACAAAAACATTTCTCAGAAGAATGACATCAATAAGTACCAGCAAACAGTAAAAAATAAAAGCAATGTTCCTTTATTTGCAAAACGGCCCCGTGTACGCCTGGTGTTAAGATGCATTTTGGTCACAAGAAGACGAGGATGAATACAGGTGTAAACGGGTCTAAAACGCTTTGAGCTTGTCAACTTTTGACCACTTCCAGAGAGTTGAAAACACATTCAACCGGATTGTTTTAATAGTGTAAACGCTCATGTCGTTGAATGTTTTTCGAACACAAATAACGCCTATACTCTCCACCTTCTGACCGAACGTGTAAACATTATGGGAAAAGCTCTAGTCAGACGGGGTTTAAACTTTGTCAGCTGAAGACCCAAGTTTATGGAGGACCAGCTCTACCATATTTAAAAATAAATACAGAAATAAATAAATGCTCAATAAATAAATAAGGTAATTATTACAAAGATGAATAAATAAAGAAGCTAATTAAAAGAGATATATACATTTATGTCTCACTGTATAATTTAATTTCTACCTACATTTATTTGTTTATTGTATTTTTTGGGGTGATTAATTGTTTGCTTATTTATTTATTGAGCATTTATTTATTTCTGTATTTATTTTTAAATATGGTAGAGTTGGTCCTCCATACAAGTTTGGTTTGAAGATGAAAAACTCAAGTACAATGTCACCATTCCTGGTTTCTATCACACACTCACAGTGTTCGGCTGATCTTGAGTCTGTCAGATCAGAAACTAAAGCTGATGTTCTACGTATGTTTTCCCGTCATCTCCTGTCGCGTTCATATGTAAATTGTGTGAGCTTATTTTGTCCATTAGTTTGAAATATCTGAAAAAACCCATCCATAGACCCTCCCTTCGAAGAAATCAGGACAGAAGTGGTTTAAAGTGGACAAAAGTGACGGATTAAAACGGGAATGTGTCTCTCTCTTCTACTTGTGATCAGATCGACCAAAACACATCTTAATACCAGCTGTAAACGGCCTAGAATGAAAAGAATAAATACATATCCACGATCTTCAGGCACTCACCTTCAGAGCATCATGAAAAACAGGAACTCCAGGATGGTACGTACACGCATCTGCAAAACAGATCAGTCATGAAACTCTAGAGGGCGCAGCCAATGAGATCGCTTGCTCAACATTTAAATAGTCTGGTTCCCTTTCGAACGGTCACTTCGTATTGCGTAGCTATACGCATTGGGGAAACTCCTTTTCCTCGATTTACTGAAGCCTATATGTAAAACGCATTTGCAGCTGCACAGCTAGCACACTGAGCGTCTGGAACGCTCATAGGCTGTGCTGCAGCAACTGCACATCCAATGGCGCAGGCGACTCTGAAGCGCGACCAATGAGCTAGCCCAACGTCGCCGTCGAACAAGCCTTTTAGCCTGAGCGTGCTTCTCTTCAGCAGACTTCGCCTGCACGTCTATTGTCTCCTGACGCCGTCTCACCTGTGGCTATCCGGCGACAGCCTATATCCTTTTACAAGCATTGTGATTATTTTCAGATGCCTCGTTCATCCTGCGCCACGTGCGGAGGCCGTCTGCACGAGGCAGACCAACACCCGAGCTGCATTTCCTGCCTGGGGATCGACCACACGGAGAATGCACTCTCTGCCGGCGGATGTGCGGCCTGCAAAAGCATGCCTATCTCCGTGCTGCCCAATCGGCTAGCTCTCTCCCGAGACGGCAATGCCGCTTCAACTACGCTTTCTGTTCCAAGGAAGAAGAAGCGTCGCAGCCTTAGGCAACCGGAGGGTTTGGAAGTCAGTGAATGCACGCCGGACGCGTCCCCGCGTGCTTCACTTTCTCCTACTCACACGCCATCACCGGTCCTGTTCGTAGGAGACCAGCGCCCCCCCCCTCCCACGTGGCAGGCCTCGTCTCTTTCGGCGGGTCTCTCAAACGCGACGACAGCCTGTCCATTGCCGCTTCTGAGGATGAGTGGCCGGGCTCTCTCGACCCCGTCACCGCTTCTCAGTCTGTGGCCAGTGGTTTAGCGACCAGGACAAACTCCGATGCCGAAATGCTTCGGATCCTGACGAAGGCCGTCGCGGACCTCGAGCTAGAGTGGGCCACGCCCGAGGAGCCGCCTCGTAGTCGGCTGGATGGATGGTTCCTGTCGGGGCGCCAGCAGGCCCCTCGGCGAGTTTGGTCGTGCTCGAGCGCCATCTTTGGCTCAACCTCACCGAGATCAAGGAAGCCGACAGGACTAGATTCCTCGACGCCCCGGTTTCCAGCTCCGGTCTCTTCGGCCTGGCGGTGAAAGGATTCTCGGAGAGGTACACAGAGGCACAGAAAGCGTCCCAGGCTATGCGACACTTCTTGCCGAAACGCTCGAGCTCTTCGACCAGCAAGCCCAAACCACCGCCTTCGCCTCATCCAGCCAAACCGGTGAAGCAGGCCTCTCAGCCCCGCCCTGCGGCCGCTGATAGCCACCGCCAGTCAAGGCTCGCGAAGCGCTACCCGCTCCCCCGGCGTCAAGGCCCGTGAGCCAGCGTCGTGATTGACCAGGTACCACCGAAGTCGTCCTAGCAACAAGCGGGAAGAGAGAGGGCTCGTGTCTCGCACTAGCCGGACCACCCTCAAAAAAGCCAGCAAAACTTCTCACAGCTCCCTGTTCAGTTCAGGCGGCTGGGGATTTAATTATTGTAAACAGGCCCGCAGCAGTGAGCGCGTCTTTGCAAACAAACGCCGTTTTCACGGCGACCCAAATAAAGCACAAAAAGAGCATGTTTCACAATCACAACACACGGGTTCACGGTCCCCCTTCTCTAGGTGGCCCCCTCCTGTTGTAACACTGACCTTACCCCGGGCAAAAGCCTGTATAGTCAGTCAAACACTCAGTATGTGCACAAATCACATTATAAGGGTATCAGGTCCCCCTAAGTTAGGCGGCCCGTCCCATTCAGTGTGTCAAGCCCTAGCGTGTGGTCATGGCCTGGCAAGCTATCCCCGGTGTGTCGAGTTGGGTCATAAACACTCTAAAGCGAGGCTACTCACTCCAATTCGCTCGCAGACCCCCCAAATTCCAGGCGGTTATCGAGACGTCGGTGAGAAGCAGCATGGGTCACGTGCTTCGCACCGAAGTTCAGAATTTATTAGCAAAAGGAGCGATAGAATCAGTCCCTCCCGCGCTAATGTATTCAGGGTTCTACAGCCGCTATTTTCTAGTCCCAAAGAAAGACGGCGGACTCAGACCCATACTAGATCTGAGACATTTGAACAAGGCTCTCATGAGACGGCCTTTCAAAATGTTAACACTCAAACAAATTCTCGCGCAAGTTCGCCCGGGCGATTGGTTTCTTACAATGGATCTGAAGGATGCATATTTTCATATTCAGATCGACCCTCGTTACAGGCCATTCTTGAGATTCGCGTTCAAGGGAAGGGCATATCAATACACCGTCCTGCGGTTCGGTCTGTCCCTGGCACCCCGCACATTCACGAAATGTATGGATGCAGCGCTCTCCCCACTGAAGGAAGTGCGCGTGCTGAATTATCTCGACGACTGGCTGGTGCTGGCGCAGTCGAGAGACGAACTGATAGTTCACAGGGATTTGATTCTCGGCCATCTAAAATGCCTGGGGCTCACAATCAATGTTACCAAGAGCAAACTGACCCCCAGCCAGACTGTAGTCTTTCTGGGCACGGTTTTAGACTCGGTAACAATGAAAGCGTGGCTCACTCAAGAGCGCGCGCTCTCTGTACAGACACTGGCAGCTGCGTTCAGAAACTACTTGGTCTAATGGCAGCTGCATCATCAGTACTCCGCTTGGGATTACTGCGCATGCGCCCGCTGCAGCACTGGCTGAAACGCCGTGTGCCAACCCATGCATGGCAGTCAGGCAGCCTGCGCATTATGGTGAATCACGGGTGTTTAAGAACACTGATTCCCTGGCGGGCTCAGGACCAGACTGATCTCATGAAATGGCGTATGTATGACACGCCAATTCGTATTTCCATTTTTGGCGTGCTATCAACACGCATAATCGCTTTTCAGCGTGTTTATCAACGCCTTTGACTTAACGTTATATTACTGTATTATGTATATATAAATATATGACCTACCCCAACCCCGTCCCTAAACCTACCCGTCACTGGGGTTAATACCATTTATGAGTCTTCTCCTACCATCCTAGGAAAAGAAATATCGCTCCACAGATGTAGATATAGATTTTGCTTCGTTTCGCTCGGACATTTAACGGCGTACACATACACGCAGAATCACTCGGACATTTAATGGCGTAGACATACACGCAAAAGATTTCGGCGTGGACATACACACGGATAGCTCAAAATGCGTATAGATAACACGCCACTTGAATTGAAAGTGGCGTGTATGTTTACGCAAAGTCATGATGTCATGTTGTGGTACCACAATGGGGTGACCATGGGGGTAGTTTCCAGAAGGAAGGTGGTTTTTACAGACGCCTCCAACCTGGGTTGGGGAACGCTGCACAAGGGCAAGCCTGCCTCCGGCCTCTGGTCAAGCACGGAGCAAAGCTTACATATAAACTGTCTGGAAATGAAAGCAGTTGGTTTGGCCCTGAAAGCTTTTACGTCAAACCTAAGGGGTCACCACGTCCTGGTCCGTACGGACAGCATGTCGGTGGTGGCCTACTTAAATCGCCAGGGCGGCATCAGGTCAGGCAACCTGTATGCTATGGCGAGGGACCTCCTCCTGTGGGCACAGGCCAATCTGAGCTCGCTGAGAGCAGCGCACATCCCGGGCGTCCAAAATGTGGGCGCGGATATGCTCTCACGGGGCAACACTCCCCTAGGCGAGTGGTCCCTGAACCCTCAGACGGTCAGTCTGATATGGGAGATGTTCGGCGAGGCCGAAGTCGACCTTTTCGCATCGAGAGCCAACACCCACTGCAGGGTGTTCTTCTCGAAAAACAGGGACGCGCTGGCTCATCCCTGGCCCAGCTGCCCCCTTTATGCTTTTCCCCCCGTCTCGATGATCCCACAAGTCATCGAACGGGTCAGGGAGAGCGGATGCCCAGTCCTTCTGGTGGCTCCTCTCTGGAAATCCAGACCATGGTTTCCGGAACTGGTTCAGTTGTCAGACACGATCCCCTGGCCTGTTCCTATGAGGAAGGATCTCCTCACGCAGGCCAACGGAACGATATGGCATCCCCGACCCGATTTATGGGCCCTCCATGTGTGGCCCCTGAACGGGTACCCGGGGACCTTCCTGACAGGGTCTTAAACACTATCTCTGAAGCAAGGGCCCTGTCTACTCGGCGCCTTTATGCTTTAAAGTGGTCGGGTTTTTCCAGCTGGTGCTCGAAAAATCTTATTGACCCAGAGTCATGTGAGGTTTCTGTGGTGCTCTATTTCCTGCAGGAGCTACTGGACGCGGGCCGCACCCCGTCCACGCTCAAAGTGTATGTGGCAGCCATCACAGCGCATCATGCTTTGGTGGCTGGCCAATCACTAGGAAGGAATGACCTGGTGGTAAAGTTTCTGAAAGGTGCTAGGAGGATTAACCCCTCCAGGCCCCCTTCGGTGCCGCCTTGGGACCTCTCCACGGTCCTTAGGGCCCTGAAGGGACCGCCTTTTGAGCCGCTCCAGTCAGTGCATCTAAAACCACTCTCGCTAAAGACTGCTCTCCTGTTGGCATTGGCATCTATCAAGCGAGTGGGAGATCTGCAGGCCCTCTCTGTGAGTCCTGCATGTTTGGAGTTTGGAACGGATGACTCCAGAGTCATTCTCAAACCCAGGCATGGTTACGTACCCAAGGTGCTCTCAACGCCGTTTAGAGCACAAGTTATTATGCTGTTAGCCCTTCCCCCTTCTGCCGGGGATGGGGAGGTTAATCTTCTCTGCCCTATTAGGGCAATGAGAATTTATCTGGAGCGTTCTGCGTCTTTTAGACAGTCAGAACAGCTGTTTGTCTGCTTTGGTGGCCGATCTAAGGGTGATCCAGTCACTAAGCAAAGACTGTCTAGATGGATAGTGGATGCCATTTCTTTGGCCTACACCTCAGTGGGTCAGGTTTGCCCCATAGGTTTCAAGGCCCATTCGACCAGAGGCATGGCCTCGTCGTGGGCTTGGTCATCTGGTTTTCCCATTCAAGATATTTGTGATGCGGCAGGCTGGTGCTCGCCTTCCACATTTATGAAGTTCTATAATATGGAGGTACCTTCCCTGCAGGCGAAGGTGCTTTCGGTATGATTGAGACCTGACGGTGTCTGGTCTTGTCTACAAGATTACTGTGCATAATCACATACATATTTATATAAACCCGCTTCGGCCGGTTATAAAGTTATCCTAATAATCCCGACGGTGTCTGGTTTTGTTAATATATTCTGTTAGTTGTTACTGACTTATATATATTATTCAGACCCGACAGTGTCTGGTCTGTTATATATATACGTATATGCATATATTATTGGGTTCTGGCTTGTTCTGTTAACTCAGGGGTCCTGAGTTGCAGTGCAACCAGTTACTTAGGGTGCGGCGTTTTGCATGGCGTCCCCACTGCGTATAGCTACGCAATACGAAGTGACCGTTCGAAAGGGAACTACTCGGTTACTATCGTAACCTCAGTTCCCTGAGAGAGGGAACGAGTATTGTGTAGCCGGCCGCACTATAGTAACTGGTGAAGTTGTCGCTTCAGTCGTATAAACCTGCTATAATGGCGGTTTCGGGGGTCTATATAGGCTGGGCCACACCCCCTCGGCAGGCCCTGACGTTGGGTTAGCTCATTGGTCGCGCGTCAGAGTCGTCAGCGCCATTGGATGTGCAGTTGCTGCAGCACAGCCTATGAGCGTTCCAGACGCTCAGTGTGCTAGCTGTGCAGCTGCAAATGCGTTTTACATATAGGCTTCAGTAAATCGAGGAAAAGGAGTTTCCCCAATGCGTATAGCTACGCAATACTCGTTCCCTCTCTCAGGGAATTGAGGTTACGATAGTAACTGAGTAGTTCAGTGTTTGCTGTAAGAGCGCTATTAGAGTTCCTCTGAACTTCCTGTCCTCCCTGGTTACCCTCTTTTGTTTGCTTCCCTATTTAATCTCCTTGTTTTCAGTCCTGTGCTGGTTCATCGTCTAACCTTGTCTGTCGACGCCTCTTGTTTCTTGTTCCTGCCAAGTCCAGTGAAGTCTTGAGTCCTGTCTTGTTTTTCCCCACAGGGTAGTTTTCATTTGTATTTTGTTTTAGTTTTATTATTAAAATAATACTTGCTCTGTAACAGTAATAATCAACAGCAGTGTAGCAGATCTAATCCACCAAGACCAAATACATTAACAGTGCCATATTCAATAACATGCTAAAACTATCTGAGAGTTGTCATGATAGAAATGATTTTCCACTTAAAACACTTAGAATCACGTGTATTTTATCCAATCACTTATTTTAACTTTTGTGAATAATATAATCATTAGCAGTGGCAGTAGTGTATTATTGTTAATATTTTTTTTACATTACTGTTTTTAATTAAATTTATATTTTTAAAAATTCATATTTGTAATAATTGTAATAATTGAATATTTTTCTTAAATACAATTTTGATTGAATCAGAGTAGCTGAACCGGAATGAGGGACAAAAATCAATGTAAAACAATGTTTAAAAGATTTTCTGTAAAAAATAAAATAATTTTTCATCAGGAAAAAAGCTCTTTAATATAATTAGACGTAAACTTGGGTAACACTTGAAATAATATTAACAAACATTATATGCATGTTCGTCAAGCAGTGTGGCATGTGATTACAAATATCAGCTTATTATATGGATAATTATACCATATTAATAATAATAATAAAGATAATTCATATAAAAATATTAAATCTAAAATGATTTGTAAGCTTATGCTTAAACTATGTAATGTTTCAGGAAAATAATGATATGGCAAATATGAAGTTATGTGGCATTTTCTCTTTACAAACTATTGATCTTAAATACAATACATAATGTTTGGTGATGATTTATTAAAATGTAAGAGCCCTTGTTACGGACAGCACATAATTCATTGAGCTCTAGTAGTATGCAGTGTAGTCCAGTTCACAATAACACACTTATATGCATTATTCTACGAAGCAAGCCTTATATATTTCTATTAACAACACTGCATATTTCTGACAGAAACCTGAGCCATGCATGCTCTCGTTAGGTCATTGAAGAGTATGAAGGTAAATAACAGATAACGCGGTACACAAAAATAATAAGTAACACTTTAGATTATGAATAAACTTTTGTAACTACATTACCGGTAGTGTAACAACCACTCACCCTCTGAATTGATTTCTGGATCAAACCGCTGCCCGCAGCCTTTATTATAACACAGCACAGACATTACGGACGGTTCAGGATACTGATTAAGTATTCACAACCCGTAATAACAGTTTTTTATTATTATTATTGCACTGAATGTTCGGTTTTGATGTCCCTCGCGCTGGATCCGGAAACTCGCGACGCGTTCGGGAAAATTCGCGAACTTTTCTGACACCCGACCGCAGAAACGGAAATAAGAAGGTAGAACGGCGGTCAGTATGAATTTACATGTGATAAATATGGTGGGTCTATTAATTAGATTTTTATATTATGACGATTCACTGTCTGTTTTTAATTTAATGTCTTTTATGGTTTCTCGCTTAAATTATGGCAGCGACTCGCTGCCATAATTTAATGTAAATTATTGTCCTACTGAGCGCTGCGGAAATAGGTGTTGTCACGTGGTAGCGGCTACTATTCTCAGCGCTCGTCAGGATGAGCCAATCACAGTCGATTACCATTACTAGATGAGGTGTTCTATAAAATGAATTTTCTAAAAAAATTGCTGTGACGGATTTACATTTCTATCACAGATACCAATTCTTGGAAATCAAATACATTAAAACTTTTAAGCTGTCTAGTGTACAGGTGTCTTCAATAAAGGCAACAAATGTCTTGAGATTTGAATGTTTGGATGGAGGATTCGCCTTTCTGAGCCGTCAAACGCCCCCTGGAGGAAAATCATTTTATGTCCAACGAGAAACCATTATTACCTCGAGAATTTTCCGCGATACACCCGAACCAGCACATGGCAGGGACTCGTGCAAAATCGGCAAAGATCGGAAAAACGGTCTCTAGATTTGGTTCAGGCTACCCTTTCTATGTAAGTCTTACCAAGGACCAACAATATGTGTATATTTTATTTAAGTGCAAATTAGGTTTTTTTTCGTATTATAAATATATATATTATGAATGCATCACAAATAAGCTAATATGCATATGCTCACATGTGATAAGCTGGAAAAGCTCTTGTAAAATTATTTTTAAAAAACTATATAATGAATACATCACTTTATGTAATTAAATGCACCCTATCACTACAAATAAGCTATTATGCTCCTTTACATGTGATAAAGCTGGTAAAGCTTTTTTTAAATAAGAAAAAAAACAAAGATCGGCATGATTTAAAAATCATGAGCAAATAAGCCTCGACATTTTTTTGTGGCAATGAAAACATTAGAGACATATTTTGTCTATAAAAAAAACACCTGCATTTATATTTTTTCCCCTTAAACGTTACCTTATGTTATATCTTATACACACATACATATGCCTAATGCTGTATAACCTTTACATTACTTAGATATTTTGATAAATTTACCATGATAAGAAACACCACTACTCCATCACTACAAGAAACATTTTTATTATACGTTACTCAGACACAATGGTAATAAAGGCACATAAATCAACGTAGATCAACAACCCTTGGCTTTCCAACCCAGATTTAATCACACTACCCTTAAAAAAAAAAAAGCCAAATTAAATACTATTGTTGCTCAAATTCATTCATATGTCAGTGTATGCAAGCAGACTGGACTTTTTGAACATATTCTGGATCGATCTAGCCTGGTTAAAACCAGACCATTCTCAGTTGTAACTGAGTTATGGTCTGGCAAAGCGTCATAGACAAATCATTTCCAGAGGGGCGTCACCAACGAACGTCGCGGATAGACCTAAACCAATCAGAGCGATGAAGGAGATGACGTATGCAGAGCGGCGGAGAAACATCTCCGAGTGTTGTTCTTTGCTCGGTTTTTAACAAAAAGGAAACGTTCAAATCGCTTAAAACAGACGCGATAGCTGATTGGAACGAGTGATGTTCGACGGCGGCATCCATCTTTGTAATGTAGGCTACAAAATCTGCTTCAAAATCCCAGCGCAATCCCAACGTTTCTGATTGGTGCCTCGATTTCGGCGGATTGGAAATGGGCTTGAATGAGCTCTTTGCCAGACTAACTTTCAGAGCAAATCTAAATTTGCCGGAAGTTGTCTGGGTTTTCCCAGGCTAGGATCGATCGGTAAATACATGATTACTTATGCTTCAGATTTAGACTTGCGTAAGTAAAATTATTATTTTGTGATTACAAACCTGAAAAAACCCAAACGCACATACCAGAAACATGAATAAAAATAAACACCAGAACAGTCTAGTCAGGATAATAAATTCTAGTTATGCATGTTACACACAGATCACTGAATAACGTGTTTACTAGAGTCTGCGTTGGGTCCTGGACTGGTGATTCTGCAAACCAGCCGTTGTTGATAAACTGCACGTCCAGTTCTTCAGCCCCTTCAAAGCACTGTGTGCACTTTAATGATAGTAGTGCTATTATCTGTTCTCATCAGACTGACACAAACAAGCAAACTAATGTTCTCTGCTCAGCACCTAAAAAGGAGTAACAGCTCACCCAACAAAAACAGGTTTAGTCACCTGAATTTGCAAAAGTCATTCTAACCCATGCTTTTTTACCTCAGAAACAAAAAAGTGAAGTGCTTTATCGCTGTTATCCCGTTTAATGAAAGCAGCAGTGACGATCTGTACACAGGTTTGGGTGAACTATCCCTTTTACAGATTGATTTGTGCGGGACGCTGCTGTTAGTTTAGTGTTCCACAGTCCCGCTCGAGAGATTAATCCATTTTCTACTATTTCCGCTCATCTTTCCTCTTTGCCTTCCTCCAGCTCCACCAGACACAACTCCAGGTTTCTGCGCCTGTCGGGGTGGAGGTTTTCCTTCATCTTTTTGTTGATGTATTTGACCACGTCCTCCGTGCCTTTGGCTTTGGGATGATAGTGATTGAGCAGGTATCCACGGAGGTTATCCTCAGTTCCTGGGGTCACCAATCCGATCAAAAAGCGGAGAAACATGTCCAGATGTCCGTTCGGAGAAGCCAGCATGCGGTCGATGGCGGGACGGTACATCTCTATCATGGGGCGATCCTTGCTTGTTGTACCCTGTAACCAAGATTTTTGGCTCGATATAAACACGTTTTTCGCGTGTTTCCTAAACGCCACGTACACGTACATGGCGGCCATGTACTCTTGTATGGTAACGTGGACGAACTTGAAGACCCACGTCTCTACGTCTTCGCTCGCCCGCTTGACTTCGGTGGTTAACTCATCCCGAGTGTGCAAATCATCATAGGTCAGGTTAACGTTTCTCAAATCAGCCATGTTAAACCAGTCCCGTCCCTCTTGAATCATCCGATACGCCATCTTCCCCATCATCTCTAGAAACGTCTTATCTTCATCCCTCCACTTTTGATCCTCCACGTTACAGCCGCGATACTTCTCGAACGAGCGGTTCATTTGGACGACGATGTACTGCGAATAAAACGCTGTGATGCCGGGTGGATGTTTGCCGTAATCAGGATCTCGAAACGCCCGTTCGAAGATAAACGCCACCATCCAGCTGAAGAGAGGAAGATGGCAGATGATTTCAAGAGCTTTGGAGCGTTTCATTTGGTTGTAAACCTTCCTACCGAGCTCAGGTTCGGTCGTTCTCTTGGTAAAGTACTCCTCCTTGCCTGCATCCGTGAATCCTCTCAACTCTACAAACCTGTCGATTAAATTGGCAGGGATTTTGTAGGCGTCGCTGACGTGGCTGGTGAGCCAAACACAGGCGTTAGGAAGCAACGTGCCTTTGATTAGGCTGGTGAGAATGGCATCAAGTGGTGCTTTCTTCCTGGCACTCGTTACGATTTCATTGTTTTCGAAGTCCAGTTTATGACGGCAAACTTCTATCCCATCAATAATGAAGAGACTCAAGCAATCTTCCTTCTCGAGGAATCCGATTTCTTCAGCTTCAGCGAAATAGTTTGAGAGCGTCTCTAGGAAGCTCAGATCTCCACCTTTCTCAATGTGCAACTCCTTCGCTGGGATTGGGAACACTAATTGAAAATCCTGATTGTTTTTTTCCTCCATCCAATCCATGATGAACTTATTGACGGCCACCGTTAGACCGCAGGCAGGGATCCCCGTCATCATGACCGTACGGATTGGTTTATGGTCGGTGGGAAGCGGGCGGAAGATGTCGGCGGCCCTGATTGCCGTCTCCTCGATCGTGTACGGGATCCGCTGGACCTCGTTCTCAGGGTTGACGGGGTCTCTGCTGCCCCTGATGACGGTTACGGGTTCGACGTAGACGTCACTGATGTAGCGCTGCTGACCTGGACGGCATCGGCCCTCGTAAAGAGAGTAATAGCGCCTGTCGAAGGCTACTTTCAGATCATACCGTAACAAGGCTGCGAAGAAACAAAACAGAAAAATCAGACTGAAGGAATTTATTATGCTTTTTTACGTGCAAGGTTATTCTATACATTATATACACTGAACTAATTAGCCATATTCAAAAATTAAAGGAACAGTTCACTCAAAAGTTATAATTCATTGTGAACGATGAACTGATTACTCTTTTCTGTACATATCAATATCGTGAGTCAGACGTCAAACATTTTTACACTACATGTCAAAAGTTGTCAGTGTGATTTTTTCCCCCCCAAAGAAACAAATACTGTTATTCAGCAAGGATGCATTAAACTGATCAGAAGTGACAGTAAAGACATTTATTATGTTACAAAAGATTTCCATTTCAAATAAGTGCTGTTCTTTTGAACTTTCTAATCAATCCTGAAATGTTTTTATCAGTTTCCGCTGCTTCAAACTTTTTTCAACATTGATGATGGAAATGTTTCTTGAGCAGCAAATCATCATCATATTAGACTGATTTCTGAAGGTTCATGTGACACTGAAGACTGGAGTAATGATTAAAGGAAGATTCTCACAAAACTGTATTCTCTGCAAGGTTTTTTCAAGGTAAATTTCCTAAAAAGGACACGTGGGGACTCCGAAATGACAACACATAACCAAACTATATAAGGAGTCCATATAATTCAGAAATGTATGCACATGAAAGAAAAATTAGCATGTGTACAGTGCAACAGCAAAGACCTTATTTAATGTTAGATAGGTCATGTTGTGATACAGAACAAGACCACAGGCCAAAAAAAAAACTAAACCAACCTCCTTGACCTGACTGCATAAATACCTACAGTATAAGAATCGATTCAGAATTACTAAACACAGCAACACACACACAACAAATCAAATGTTTATCCTGAATGTGTGTGAAAGCAATAGGGCTTGACCCGGATATTCGAATATTCGTTCGGTGTGTTGGTATTCGATTTGAAAATGTGACATTCGAATATTCTTTTTTTTGCACACCTGGCATCCCCATCGAAACGGTTCTCATTCGCGCTTGAATATGTTTTACACTATAAAATCTGGTGAAATATAATACTTAACATATAACTTCGTTATATCTACTTAATAAATATATTTGCTTCTTCTTGGACTACTAAACGTGTTCCTGCAACGGGAGTATTCTCTGGCTAGAGCGCAGAACAGCGGAGTTTGTATGGACAGAAGTGCATGCCTGAGCTTGTATTTTGGGTTAAGCTGCGTTGCTTTGACATTGTGGAACATAGAATAATAGAAATAATGTATTATCCTTTTTAGCCTTATCAATCTAAATTAATCTACAGCTAAGTATAGGAGACTTTGAGATTTTACTGGGACGTCACGTTTATTTTTCGTTTTTCTTTATTTAAATTTTGTTTTTCTTTATTTAAATTTCGTTTTTCTATATTTAAATTTCGTTTTTATTTATTTAAATTTCGTTTTTATTTATTTAAATTTCGTTTTTATTTATTGAAATCTACCCTACTTTGTCAGTGAGAAAAATATTATAAGACTACCTTATTAAAAATATTGCTTAATTTAAAAGACGTGTGTGTGTTTTATATCACTGTAGTGTCCGTTCTCGGAGCCTTATAAGCCCTGCTTGAGTGAGGCGCGCAGCTTCTTTATTTAAATCTACCCTACTTTGTCAGTAATTTGTTAGTGGGAAAAATATTAAATTACCTTATTAAAAATATTGCTTAAGTTAACAGACCTGTGTGTGTGTTTTATATCACTAGTGCAGTGTCCGTTCTTGCAGCATATAAACTCTTCCCGCTCGCGCTGTTCTGTAGTTTATTAAAAGTTTATTCATTCTGAACGTGTCGCGTCTCGCCTGTCTATCTATATTGTACCAAATACGACACTGCACTCCCTTGTGAAGTCGTTTGGATGAACGGTTCTCGAAATAATCAAAATGCAAACGAACGGACAGACAGACATATAGAGATTCCGAAGCTTCGAATATTCGATGTTCATTACTACCGAAGCTTCGAAGCTCAAAAAATGGTATTCGGACCAGCCCTAGAAAGCAACGAACATGTACTGAAATTTGACTCAGCATAAACAATATATATCAGTGTCGAGAATGCACAAACTGTTTGTATGCGCATTAATATAAAGGATTTATGTGTTCTTACTATACGACACCGCAATCATCTTTACCTTGATAACAATCCTCATCAAAACATTACTAGCAAGATGCTGGATTGTTTTATCCAGCAAGGAAACGTAAAATAATGGATTATTTTCTTCAGCAGAGACCCTTCAGATGCGCACAGTTCGCCATAAAGGTTTTGAATTGCTTGAAATATAATTGGAATCAATTCAAAAAGGTTACATAAAATCGTAATCAGGCTCTTAAATTATATAAAAATGAGGTTTATCGGCCAATATATCGGGTTTCAAATATAAAGATTATCGGTTATCTGTATTGGTCAATTCATATTAGAGCATCCCAACTAACTGCGTGATATAAATTACGTTGATGGTGCAAATTTCACATGCTTCAATAATTTATTTGCATTAAACGAATGCATTAAGGATTTTGAATTGTGTTAACATTGACAGCCCTAAATTACTTTTTTACTGTTTTGATTATATATATAAAATAAAATGATCAATATAAATAAAATGTTTGAATACACCTAAAGCGCTAAAGTTTGAATATCAATGAAAGTTTTCTTTTTTGGGGCAACTGTTCCTTGAGCATCTATCAGGTGATGTGTTAAATCTGCTGTACCTCTTCTACAGGTCTTCCTCAGGGTTTTGGACAATTCGTTCCTTCCGATGTTTTGGAGGTTTCGTACAGTGAGATGCAGAGCCTCTCCCAGCTTACAGATCTCGATCATTTTATCAGCCACATCCAGCGCGTCAGTAAGATCCGCGATCACCGGGTAGTTCTTCTTGAATTTGTAGTTACTGCTCAGACAACGCTTATAAAATGACATCTCTGATGGATGGATCTGACTAAGACTTTTCACCATGGCCTGAATGAGACAAAGACAGAAACATCTGTAATATTTATCTAACAATAGTGAAAGAGAAAAGTTTAACCCCTGCGCATCAATTTAAAAAAAAGTTACTCTGAGGTCTTCAGAAAACTCAAGTTTGATCTACTTTTAAAGACCCTTTAGTAAAACAAAAAAGTATAAAAAGTGAAACAAAAGTTATAAATGTTGAGAAGTTGAATGGTTTTGTCCCTGTATATTAATGACACAAGACTGGAGAAGAATGATTTTGCAGTGTATTTGGATAGTTTTCGCTGAAAAAATAAATAAATAAAGAGGAAGCAGCTAAAGGAGAAAATGAACTAGGCTAGGCTTGGCAAGACAATTTTGCAAATGGAGATTGAGCCAAGTAGTTTTAAATTTTAGCACCATGTTGAATTGATCAATACACCATTTTATGTTGCATTTTTGATGTTTAGTCAGTAGACGAAAGGTCGTAGCAGCAAACACACTGAGATGATCATGATAAATGATGGAAAGCGATCGCAGGCCATCTTTGGTTGCAAGACCGTGACAACAGCCGTCTTTGAACCTCTCACTGAGCGACGTAGGACCACCATTTAAGAGTAGAGCTGCACAATTAATCGCAATTTACATGTAATCGCACTTAAACCGAGTTGGCTTATCACGATTTTGAAATCGCAAAGGCTGCGATTATTTTTTATGCGCAGCTTGTCATTGATATACGGCTCTTAAACGCTGCTCCATCTGATAGCACTGAGTTTGAGTCACTTATAACGTGCATTTGAAAAAGCAACAAGCGTCAAACATATTTCCAAACATAAGCATTTATGAACCTCTTGTCCAACAAAAGACAACATTTAAAGCAGCACTAAGTAGGAATTCCGTTTTTGTCAAACAGCGACCCCTAGAGTCGCTGTGGAGTACTTGTACTGTCGTGAATAGCACTCACGCAGAGATGGCTCGCACTCACGGCCTGATCCCCTCCCCCTGTACACCGGTACCTGTTCAGTAGGATGGAGGCTGTAACGAGTGGAAATAAGGTATGGCCCCTTTAAGAGCTGCGCGCGCCCTGCGTCTCGAACACCACATGTATACGGCGCCGGGTTATTTCTGTTTGATGCTCATTTTATCAGATCTGTTTTTTGCCGTAAAGCAATTCGTTACATCGCGAGACCTGATATCACGTGACACTTCCTGATGCTGCGGCCGGCAGGCCGCCGGCTCAAAGTTGCAAGAGTGATTTTTCCGCTCACATGCGATAGGGGGGTGCGAGACGACCACCATTCAACCCGAAAAGAGTAATATAACCATTCCAATGACTCCGAAGCTGTTCGGTTGAGGTAAAAAAACCCTGCATAGTTCACCTTTAATAACATGCCTTTACTCCAAACTCACTTCATAACGACAGCTGAGCTCATCCTTCTGTGAGATGATGTGGCTTCTTATACAGAATAAGGCAGTCGTGTGTTTATTAGTCAGGTTTAATCAAAGCGTTTCAATCTTCTGTTTATTCAGCTACAGATAGTATGATGCTCAAAGGGATTTCCTGGAATGATGTGTGTTATCGTTCTTCTGCGGTGGGGAATATTTGGCGTGTGTGTGAGACACCCTCTGGCTTTCAGATAGAGCAGCATTTACTACCGATCACAGAGCCGTACTTCACTGACAAACTGCGCATAAAATAATCACAGCCTTTACCAGATTGCATGCAGTTTCATTGCGATTAATTGTACAGCCCTATTTAGTATGAAACAAAACAGCAGCATCAAAAACAGCTACTGACCGTTAGCACATGGCGCAGGGTGAGAGAGCTGTGAGTGTGCCGAAACTGCAGACCGGCGCCCTCTGGAGGCGGCGGCGGAGGCTCCTTCGGGTCCTCATAATGTACAACAATTTCATCGAAATCATAAACCGGCTCCTTGTTCTGCTCCTCCATCGCAGCACTTTCATTGGGCTGTTCCGGCAGGTTGGTCTCACGCATCTCTCGGTCATCCGGCTCTTCATTCAGCGCTCGGTCTGTCCATTCAGATTGCACATCAGATTGCTCCACGGTCATGGGCTCCCTGTTAATGACAATGAAGTGAGTCTTTGGGCATAGGTAAACTATTCATTTAGATACATGTGTGTTGTGGATGTAGTTACTCGTGTCTTGAATGAGAGGGTTCTTTGTGAACGATGGACTGCTGTCGCAGAAACGGTCCATCTTGGTATATGCTGGACTGGTTTGTGTGTGTTCGTCCAGTAATCGCAGTCTCTGGTGATCCTGAGCGGTAAAGCCTGACCCTGTACAACATATAAATGTGATTAAATACATAAATGGACTATGAAATGATTCACACATGTCCACAACATTATAAGCACACTAAAATTAAACATACAGTACTGCTCAAAAGTCTGGAAACATTAACGTTTTTGAAAGAACTCTAATGCTCAAGGCCTGCATTTATTTGATTAAAAAATACAGTAAAAACAGTAATATTGTGAAATATTACTACAATTTAAAATAACTGTTTTCTATTTTAATATAAATTAAAATGTAATTTATTCCTGTGATCAAAGCTGAATTTCCAGCATCATTACTCCAGTCTTCAGTGTCACATGATCCTTCAGAAATCACTCTAATATGATGATTTGTCAATGTTGTGCTCTTTAATATTTTTTTTTATAACCTGTGATACTTTAACTTTTATTCATCAATGAATCCTGAAAAAAAAAAAACAGCATTTATTCAAAATGGAAACCTTTTCGAACAATATAAATCTTTACTATCACTTTTTATCAAGAAGGATCATGTGACACTGAAGACTGGAGTAATGATGCTGAAAATTTAATCAGGATCATTTATTCCCCCGTCACATCCATTTACCTCAAAACAAGAATGAACCATCAATTTAAAATGTTAAAATTAAAAAGTGACATGTTTTCTTGTACCATGTTCAAAAGTTGACAAGATCAAACCTTATTTAATATAAATAACTTGTAGTTTCTATCAGTTTTGACATGATTAATCAAGCAAGCATCATATTCACTCCATCACATACAACTGTTTTATTACTATTATTCATAGAATGCTATGATGCTTTTTGTTTTGCTCAAATTGTTTTTTGTGATGGTTAAGTTGTATATTACTGTACTTTGTTTCTGCATGTTTGACCGGAGGTTCAAAGTCATCTTCATCCTCATCATCATCGCTATGCATGGAGCCATAACTGCTGGGCGGCCGGCCTGTCATGACCCTTAAAAACAAATGTTCATATCAACGTTAAAACAAACAAAATGACAGCAGCTGAAACGCCGGGCAGGTGAGAAGTCATCGTAAAAAGCTCCACAGCATAATTTTGCACATAAATAACCGATACCTGTAATTCAGATGCCAAAATTAAAAGCATAATTAAAACACTAATGGCTGAACCTTTTCTGTAATTAAATGTACTTAAAAATCAAAGCAACTCATGAGTGAACCGACCTGACTGTCCACGAAATGTCTGAACCCGCAAAGACTCTGCTTTAAATGCAGATTGTATTTCAAGCATATATATATATTTTTTGCTGACAGAAACAGGTTCTCTTTCCAACTAAGTGGCTTGTTATTTGATCAGTCAGGTTAGGGGTCTAATACACATCCTGATGATCTTTGAACAGATAAACATCAGGTGAGAAAAAGCATCTTCTTATATTTCCAATTCCCAACAATAAACAAGTTTGCTTGTCAGTTTTTAAAGGAAATACACAATTTGCCCCAAAATGTCAAGATATAAAATGTGAGAATACTGTTTGAAAGATGAAATACAGAAACAAGTGTAGACAACTAAAACAAAAATCATATTGATCAACAACTACTAGCTCAGATTAAACTCACCTGTCCTGATATGACATTAAAGATCTCTGCAGTTGTGTTACGATTTCAGATGCAATCCATTACACCCCATTTACAGATGGATTTATTAATGTAAAGTGTCACTTATCACCCAGGGGTCAGTTTGCATAAACATACTGTAGCTGCTATGTTAAGACATGGTAATCTTAAATAACTATTCGGACCAACTAGGAGTTAGACAAGCTGGAATCACTTACTTTACGGTTCACATACCTTTTTATATAGGTGACTTAAAAGCATAAAAAGTTAAGGACAACAATTGATCACTAACTTTATGATTGTAGGTTATTATTCGTCCGTTAAATGCTCTGCAAATCAGGTCTGACTACTAACGTTAGAGTGACGAGTTACCAAACTAAAGCTGGTTTGGCAGAACTAAGAAACACAGGCCGGTAGAACCGGACTGAATTGAGGAAAGCTAAACATTGTTTTTTTTTTTACTTACCCTTCCACTTCAGAATCACCATATTCACTCATGATGGTCCTTATAAAGTCCTTACAAACGATTACAGCACAGCTCCTGCTTCAAAAACAGCACATGGAAACTCTTTTATAGCCGAAAAAGGAAATCATTCTTCGCCATATTTTGGAGTTCTACAATTCAAATAAAGCGACAACACTTACCAAAAAGATTTATGAAGCGACAAACACGTACTCGAAACATTAAAGAAGCGATCGAGGTTAAAGTGAAGTCATGTAGTTGATCATTTCGCTGTCAAAATTAGTTTGAAACTTCGACAGAAACGTCTTCCGTTTAAGACACGGCCTCGCGCATATCTTCCGCATTTCCTGTCGGTGACGTCATTCACTTTGGGTTCTATGGTTTCGCGTGAACGCGCTGTAATACACCGTATATATGCGCATCAACCGAGGAAAACCATAATGACGAGAACAGCTCATTTCTGCATAGTCTTTAAAGAGGATTTATTTAACAATAAAAAAGTTACACATTTTAGTTGAATGTTTATTATAATAAACTTTATAAAAAAAAAAAGTGCTATTGCAGTGTGATACAGTGATCAACCTATCATAACATTACACAGATATATACCAGCATGCTTTTAAATAGCTGCAATTTAATTGTAACTTACACTTATGCATGTAAAATGCAGGACACAGAAAGACAGAAAGATCAAGACAAAAAAAAAAAAAAAGAGAAAGAGAAAGAGACATAAAAGACAAACATAGACAGACAGGGACAGAAAGACAGATGCTTTAAAACCCGTTTTTAAACCCTTAAAAACACCACTACAAAATAAATGTAATAAAAATATTTTATTTCAAACACATTTCAAAACAGTAAATTCAAATCTATAAAGTGAACATAAGACAAACAAACAAGAAAATGGCCAATAAAAATAAATCGAGGATTTGTACACAAATTATCCTGGAGTTCACCTGTGGAGAGAGAAGTGGTTTCAGAAAGTTCATTAAATACAATACAAAGTGGTATTGCCTCATAACAGCAGCAGATACATACAGTCAAACGCTTCAGGAAAGACGGTCGGCACAGTTACTTCTATTGCTCTCCCTAAATACACATAAAATACTTTTCTTAACCTACACTTAAATATTGTGCCTATTAACCATGCATTAGTCTAAGGGGCCGTTTACACGACACCGTTTTCAACTAAAAACGTGAAAAATTATGCTTTTTGCCCATTTGTTTACACGACATCTGCGTTTTGGGGTGCCTGGAAAAGCAAAGTTTTGAAAACGGGTTTCAAATTGCAAGTTTTTGAAAATGGTCTCCGTGTAAACAGCAAAAAACACGAATCTCTGAAGACGATGACGTCATGCACATGCGTATTACACGTTCAGTCTATAGCAGGGGTCTCCAAACTTTTTTCATTTGAGAGCTACTTTTTAAAAAAGAAAGTGGCCGAGGGCTACTCATGTAATACTTAAAATCTCTTACATAATGTCTCATAACTCATAACAACTATCCAAACAACGAAAACTTGTCTGTACATGGAAAAACTTCTCCGTTTTAAGCATATCGTTGTCATGTAAACGTACCCAGAATCTAATCAAACAAGAGCTCCCAGCTCAACTGAAGTCTCGTGAACAATTCTCCCCAACTCTAGTGGTTTGTACCAGTTTGGCATTGGAGGTTGTGGAAGGCTTGTTGCGGGGACGTTTTCTCAGGCCCCCACTGGCCCTTGGGGGGGTTTTGCAGGCGTCTTCATGGAGCCTGAGGCCTCGCCGAAGCAAACTACCTCCACCGCTGCTCTTCGGCGTATTAGGAATCATGAACACCACGGACTGCCTTTGCTTAGACTAGAGATGAATACAGTTAGGTGCATGTGTGTGTGCACAATCAGTGAAGATATTTAGTACATTTCCTACCGTAAATGTATAAAAAAAAAATATATTTTTGTGAGTAAATGCAGCACAACCGCGAACATAAATGGACAACTTTAAAGGCTTTTTCTGAACGTTTAGATTTTTTTTGCACCTTCAGATTCCAGATTTTCAAATATGTCGCCCAAAATATTGTCCTATCCCAACAAACCATACACCAATGGAAAGCTTATTTATTATTGATGTATAACTCAATTTCACAAAAATGTACCCTTGTGACTGGTTTTGTGGTCCAGGGTCACATATACACGTACGTGTGTGTGTGTGTGTGTGTGTGTGTACACATCTATAAGTTACCTTACCTGAGAGTTTGAAAGTCTGTTGGCATGCCTGCTCTTAATTGTTGCTTTCCGAGAGATGCAGTTCACCGACTTCTTCAGCAGCAACAGAACATGGATTGCACATTCAGAATAGACTTCCTTAAAGCCTGACATTTGTAAAACAAATTCTTTTTTTTTTTTTTTTTTTTTTAAATGGCACAGTTTATTAAACCTTTAGACAATAAGTTTGCATATGCATTTTTTGGTGAGAATCATATTTGATGCATCAGGATCATATAGTATGAGAATATGGAGGGAAAAACACCTCAGTTTTATTCAGTTTGGAGCAGATGCTGATATTTATATGGACAAAAAGTAAGATGAAATTATAATGCTTGTAATGTAACCCAGACACCAACATGGTTTTGGCCCAGATCCGGCTCACATCTGGTACGCGAAGAATCCACATGTACCAGATGTGGCCCGGATCTGGGCCGACACTATGTTGCTGTCTGGGAAATCAATCAGATCTTTATAACAGTATAGCAGATATTTACATAAAATTCATATAAATATCAGTCGTCACTCTACATCTGCATAATTCAATACGATGATCATTGAGAGATGAACAAATAAACCTTCCTCAAAAGCCTGATGATCATATTTGACAAGTAAACCCAAGTTGCTTCAGTCCAGTAAGTGTTGATCTTGAAATATTACTGACAATATCAAACTTACTGTTACGTTTACTTTATAAAAATCTCACAGCAAAAAGACTCGTAAATCACGAGCTGGACGTTTTACAGTTATGACAAAAGGCTTTTTACACTGTAAAAAAACTAAACTCATTATTTTGTGTTATCTTTTTGCATGTTTTTTTTTTTTAGTTTAACTAACTTATTTCGATAAGTTGAGGACAAGAAAACTTAATTTCTTGTTGTCTGGACAATCTAGTTCTCTACACACACAAAAAAAGTTGAAATAACTAAATTGCTAAAATATTTTTTACAGTGTACTTGCTAAAAAATATGAACTATCAAACTACCTATCAGACGACAGAAGGCATGTAGTAGACCGGTTTCTCAGCAAAGTTGATCATGTTCAGGCCTTAGAACTGTGTGTATCAAATATGATACAGTCGGCTTTATAGTGTTAAAGAAAGCGCATTCAATTTACCTTTAAAATTCAACAAATGAACCTATCCTATAAAATAAATCACCATATGTACATATTCTCGTTCTGTCGTACCTCAGGTGTGTCCGGGACATGCAGATGAAATCCTGGCCTCTTCCGAACCTGTGGGAGCGAGAGTTTTGTGATTCACGCAAAAGTAAATCGCCACTGTAACCATTACATACTGTATACTGGAAGTGATCTACATCAGAACTTAGGGTTAACTATCCCTTTAACTATAACAACTCAAAAACCCCAGTATTTTTTAATTAAGTTAGTATTGTGGCTTCATGTATGGTCAGACACATGCATGCATGTACAATTTATATACTTTTAGACTTTCTCTGCATCTCGCGTCCTCATTGTCGTCGATCATCTTCCTCCACTCTTGCAGACGCTTCTTAGCCAAGTCCACCTGAAACAAACAGCGTTGCATGTTAAACTATACTGAACATTACTCAAAACAGGATTCAGTGTAAACCACAGTTTGGAGATTTTCACTTCAGCTTTGGCCTGGTCTCGTTCCATCTGAAGAGTCTGGTTTTTACTGCTGCAATGCTGTAATCGTCTGAATACTATCTTCAGCTTGTCCAGGAGCTCCATATTCTGCAGCTCCCATTGTCCAGCAAGATTTTTCAGAGCGAGAACGGAGGCGTTTTGTTTTTCCAGCTTCAGCTCCAGTTGAGCTCTAAGCCGATCAGCTCTCAGCTGTCGGTCCTTCATCGTGGTTTTAAGAGCACTTATTTGAGCGTCCCTCTCCGAGGAAAGAGTTGAGATCTCAGCCTGAAGGTCCCTCACGATCTTCTCAAGCTCCTGAGCTTTTTCTTGGAGGGTTTCCTGATGGCAAAGCTCATGTCGAAGCAAGTCCTTCACCTCAGCCAGCTGGTTCAGAAAAGAGGTCAGGTTTTTCTGCAACACGTTGTGTTTGGTCTCTAAAACAGACATTTCTTGTCGTTTCTGCACTTCATTTTCACTGTAACGGCAGATCTGCTCTTTAAGAGAGGTTACCTCTGCTGACAGAACCAGCATTTCCTCTTGTTTTTCTGATGCGGCTGAAGAAGCAGAGTGAAGCTCTTGCTGAAGTTTTTTAACCGTCTCCTCATGCTCTTTGCGATTTGATTTGATCAATTCGTTTATATCAATATTTTGTTCCTTCACAAGCTTCAGCTCGTGGTCAACAGAGTCGTACTCGTTCCTCAGATTTCTGATTTCTTCATCTTTTAGGGAAATCTGCTCGGACAGTTCCAGAATGTGAGTTTGGAGGCTTTCGATTTTGTTCAAAACCTGAGAAGAGACAAGTTTGCAAATTAATACAATTTTTTATTTTTTTTTGCATTTTAGCGTTTTATACAATAAACGCAATGAAGTGAGATTCACTCAGACTAGTAAATAGAGCAAAATTTAAATTTAAACTGAAGAGCAATCCATCTCACAAATGGACAATTTATTTTTAATGTACATCATTTATTATTTAATGGTTTATAGAACTAGATTTTAAATTGTGAATTAAATGTTTTAAATATGTTCATTTAATTTTAATGTAATAAAACAAATGAATAAATCACTTAAATAAAATTTACATTTAATTTTATTTCATCAAATAAAACAAATTAAAACTTTCTTAACATTTTAAAGGCACACCGGGGAACTTTTGGCCACTAGTGGCGCTCGACCTGTAACTTTCACGTCTAGCGTCCCTAGAGGCCACAAGCTCCGCAGCACTGTCGCAAAAGTCAACAGGTCAGCCCATAGACAGTGGGTCAGCCTCCCGTGTCTTTAGATTGTGTGTGCTTGCAGTGTTTGAGGCGGGCAGCCTTGCCGCGCTCGATTCCCTTATAGCAGTCTGCTGAGAGAGAGCGAGCGGGGCGAGCCCCGTGGGGCTTAGTGCTAACATGTCTGTGAGTGAATGTGGGCGCGGGACGGCGGGCACATTTACTGCACTAAAAACACCGTCGGCCTGAGCTGACTGTAACTTATGTGTGTTGGTTTCGTTTTACAGAACCGTGGGACATGTTGTGTGTAGTGTTTGTGGGCACTGAGTCGTGGGAACGTTCACTACATTTAATGTACATTTGACATGAGTCGATTTTATTTGTGCGAGCCCTGCACTGTGGCGGGCTGTGTTTGTGTGTAGAAATGAACAATGGGCTGTGGGCATTTTATTACACTCATAACACCATCGCCTGTGGCCGAAATACCAGAAAATACTACACTACTTATATGATTTATCTGGGTCACCTTGGAAACGGCATTTGTGTGCAGGCAAGCGTCAGCATCGGTCGGGCACCCCTCCTCCTCCTGTAGCTCACGCCAGCGAGCGAACGCTGGACCAATGGTGATCCTCATCCTGGCTTTTCATTTGTCACTATGCCTTTTTCTTTTTTTTTGTGTCCTCTGACAAAACCTTTGCCTTCTTCCTTGTAGCTGTTGGTTCGGCCATGACGAAAACATACAGACAGCAATCAAACGCGAGTTGAGCACTCACGTCAGAATCTGAGGAAGTTGTGGGTGGTGGGGGAAGTGACGTATGCCGTAAAGCGGTTGAATTTTGTAGTTCTTTTTGTGCTCGGGTTCCTACCCGAAACCCGAAGTTACATAGTGCTAGTAAAAGCGATACAGACACCTTCAAGCCTTGTTTATACTCGACGCGTCCGCACGAGCGCGAGTCTCCGCTGACTGCGCGCGCACCTCTCCAAACGGACGAGGCGTTTATACTTGACGCGCTCGCCGTTGTGCTATTCTGTGAAACGACAGGGGGCGACTCGGAGTAATTCTCCTCTAAACCACCAGGAATCAGCAGTGAAGAAGTAGTTTGCCGGTTTATTAATAGCTGATTCATATTAAAAGAGTAATAAATGCAGTTGGTGTATTGTACTTTCTTGTACAAACTCGTTAAACAACTGAAGCCTTATTGAAGAGCGTTTAAACCTTAATTTCATCAGCAGGGCTTACTTCTGCTATTGTAGGCTTATTTTGTAAATATAAGCAGTTTAGACAAGTGCAAACTGGGTGCTTAATGCAAATGTGTTCCTATTCACAAAATGAGAGGCTTTTATGGTCGCCCATCAATGCAAATGTCTCTGTGTATAGAAGGATCATAAACATGCTGGTACAGACATACCAGTTCGGCCTGATTCGGCTCGAAGTCGTTCATCTTCGGATGCGGCGCCGCGCGCGATGTTACAAAAAGTGCCGTGCACACCGCCAGGCGAAATGGGGTCTTGCGCACCCAACCCGCACGACCGCCCACACCGCAATTACGTCATTTTGCCGTGCGCACCTTCGCGCTCTTGCGGACGCGTCGAGTATAAACAAGGCTTCAGGCTTCGGCAGACGTGTCATTCAACCTATAGTAAGTCGATGTACCATCTCAATGGGTTTTGGTAATATATTATAAAGGTTGAAAAGTCCCACAGGTTGCCTTTAAAACAAATTTTAAAAAAAGTCAAAACATTTTAAAATGGGAAAATACATTTTAAACTGTTAATTTAATTAATGTTATAACGTTGTTAAAATAAGAAAATAAAATAAGAAAACAATAAACAAAAACAAATCAATAAAACCATTTTATTTAACTAGATTTTAAAGCGATGCGAAAGGTAAATTTAATAATACTAATTTATTGTTTAATTAAATTAACATTTAAAACCGTTTATTTGATGGGTTTAAAAATATATATAACAAAAATCAACATTTTTAAACATGAATAAAAAATAAAATAAAAAAAATCCAATTTAATAAAAAGAAAAATAGAATAAATAGACATTTAAAACTGCTTATTTGATTCAGGTTTTAAAATGTAATTATTAAATAGAAAACAATTGTTTAACAGTTTAAAGAATTAATTCAACAGTTTTAAATAAAATGTTTTTCGATTTGTCCATTTATGAACTGATTTATTTCCATTTTTATGTCTGAACTATTAATTTGATAACTAACTCCTTTTATTTTTAAGCATCACTCCTAGTCCACCATACTCGCCTCCATGATGGGTCCCAAAACCTCTCCTCTCTCCTGAGACTGAGCATCCTCCAGAACGGAGATCTTTCCCTGAAGGATCTGCACTTGCTCACTCAGACACTCCTGAACGAGGAGAACAGGAGGAAGAAAACAATACAGATTAATAAATACCAGTCAGGTTGAGTACAAAGCAAAGAAACACAACATGATTCATTTAATTGAAATGCTCTACCCTGTGTGTGACGGCCTCTTTCAACTCGTGCTCGAGAAACTCCTTTCTGCTCCTCCACTCAGCCAGTGACGATTCATGAGCCAACGTGAGTTTTGTAACTTCCTCCTCGGCTCTCGCCAGCTGAGCGAAGGTGTTTCGCACCTGATGAGTCCAGTGTGAGAGAGAAATTAGTTTTAAACAGGTCTGCAAGACAGAACGGATGAAAAAAAAAATTAAGCATCTCACCTGATCAGCGAAACTTCGGTTCTTCTCCATTAGTTCATGCATTTTCTTCTCTTTCTGATAATTTTCATTTTTTAACTCTTGGCACTGCTTCAAGACCTCATGCACTCTGCAGAGAAGACTGTACAAGAAAGAAAAGTAACATTTTACAATAAGGTCTCATTTGTTAACATTAATTAAAGCATTGACTAACAAAGAGCAATATATTTTATAATTCATAGGACTTCCTTTAATGTGTGATGTTGCCGTTTGAGCATGAAAAATTCAGTACATTTCCAGCACAAAGTTCCCCCAGCAGGAGTTATCCTCTATTATCAGTGTAGTCCTCCTTAATAGAAATACATGTAATGCGCGATATTCGCCTACGTTTAACGCCTCGTGACTAAACAAAGGGCGCCAATGTGAGTGTGCACACCGATGTGAAACACGCCACGCGTAAAAGCGTAATTTTTTAAAAAACGCCTCAGGTTCGTTTTTTTAGTTTGACGCGCCACGTCAAAAACCATCCGACCAATGAGATTGGCGCTTTTGCTCACGTTTCTGGAGCTTCTGAAGTTACAGTAAAACACGACTTGGGGGCGCTCAAACACAAAACGGTCTTGCCGAGCACACATACGTAACGGCGAAGAAGATGTCCGCCAAGTAGCGTCTACACCATAGACAGGTCTACACTGCCGGGAAGAAATAAGACGAGGAAGATGCAAGGCTGGTCTCATTGGTGTCGGAACAAAGAACTATATGACAAATGCGACAGCGACTACAAAAATCTTGATAAAGAGAAATTGTATGGAGTGGTATTGCAGAGCAAATGGGCGCCATCTAATGTCAGGGAATGAATTGGCATGTTCACTCGGCTCATCGTCAGCGAAAATCGCTTGGGTGTGAACTAAAAAAAAACGCGTTGTAAAACGCTGGCGAATAACGCGCGCCGATATTCGTCCCGGTGTGTACTAGCCTTTAGAGTGCATTAATGTTTTGTTAACAGATACTGACCTCTAACAGAAGCTAAACTCTGCAGGCAGACTGATCTCATGAAATGGCGTATGTATGACACGCCAATTCGTATTTCCATTTTTGGCGTGCTATCAACACGCATAATCGCTTTTCAGCGTGTTTATCAACGCCTTTGACTTAACGTTATATTACTGTATTATGCATATATAAATATATGACCTACCCCAACCCCGTCCCTAAACCTACCCGTCACTGGGGTTAATACCATTTATGAGTCTTCTCCTACCATCCTAGGAAAAGAAATATCGCTCCACAGATGTAGATATAGATTTTGCTTCGTTTCGCTCGGACATTTAACGGCGTAGACATACACGCGGAATCACTCGGACATTTAATGGCGTAGACATACACGCAAAAGATTTCGGCGTGGACATACACGCGGATATTTCAAAATGCGTATAGATAACACGCCACTTGAATTGAAAGTGGCGTGTATGTTTACGCAAAGTCATGATGTCATGTTGCTGCAGGAGTTCTCTCTCTAAGACCGACGTTACTCATCCCTGGTATAATACATTATCTGGGGGGTATTTTGAGACACATTCTGGGGACACCTAAGACATGTAGAGTAACATGTAATATAATATAACATCTTTTAAAGAAGGGGCAGAATAGCTCCCCTTCTTGCGCCTCACCTCTCATTCTTCTCCTGCAGCTCCAGAAGAGCAGCTTCATGGTCTTTCTCCAGCTCTCGTTGTTCTCTCAGCATTCGGTCCACCCTGTGCTGCAGCTGGACTATCAGACCCTCTGTGTGCAAAAGAGAGAGAAATTCAGCCAAATTCTTCACACCAGAGTTAATTCTCTCGAGGTAGCACAAATGAAACCTTTCACTGAGATGATGTTGATCTGATCGGCCAGTTCTTTCTCCAGCTCGTCTCTCACATCTGCCCCATGCGCCAATTCTTTCCGGAGTCTCTTCAACAATTGTGGCGTGCTCACTTTATCCGGCACTGAAGAGCTGGAGATCAAGAATGTGAGTCAAGTCCCTTTCACAAGGAGCACGACGTGATATAAAGCTAAGCGAATCGCCAAACATGATGCAATGAAGCAAGAAGGGCCCCTACTGTACCTGCCCGAGCTGCCGGCCACCGTGACCAGCTCTAGAAACTGAACTCTGGGTTTTTGGAAGCGGCTGGTGAACGGAGACTCGTCATCATCGGTGTATGAAGGCGAACCGCAGCTGCTCCCACTGCTGGAGGTGGAGAAGGTCATGACAGCTACAGAGTGAAAGAGAAGGAAGGTTAACACACCTGTCAGGATACAATACAACCATTAACGCCTACCTCACTCAATTGTACGGTTGGAAATCGAAAATCTTGAGGTCAGGAATCAGATACTTGTTATACAATTTATTTTGTTTCCTATTTTCGATTCCTTTGTGAGCATTTCAATATGACTTTAAACCATTCAAGCACGAGACGACTCGCACACGGTTTATTGGATCCGTGCAGCTCTTAAAGACCCACTCCGATGAAAATAATGTTTTTCAAGGTGTTAACATGTTCTTGTGGCATTTTTCTTATGTTAGAGGACATATCTTGAGAAAAATAAGCTCAAAGTTGTATTTCTGAGTATTTCTACATTCAAATGGCTGTGAATCAGTAGCAGACGCTAAAATGCCGTTTAAAATAGACTGGAGTTGTGACGTAGTAACTCCACTGGGCGGGGCCACAAGCTCATACTCCCCGCCACGCCCGCTCAGGTTCTGAGGAGTAGAGAAGACAATGGCGGATCAACACCTATGTGCGGTAGTGGGTTGCAATGCTAAGAGGAGAGATAGTGGTATTAGCTTTCATGCTTTACCAAAACATGTTGCTGTGAGAGATAGATGGTTTACGTTCCTTGGTCACGGCAATGTTAAAAACCACACATCGGTTTGCGGTCAGCACTTTACAGAAGAACTTTAAACTTTAGACTTAGGTTTTCAATGTGCTCTATAAGTAAACTTAAATTTAAACTTGATTCTGCAGCACTATGATTTAGTCTTTGTGTGATAGCTATGAAAACTTCAAAAAGGTTAATCTGACTAAATGTTTGGAGCATGTCCACAAACATATTTATTTACTAACATGTTATTAGGAGTTATTGGCCTGAAATAGTCAATTCAACAGATTACAAAAACAATACCATTCTGATATATCCACTTGTAGACGACTAGATCTATGTACGTCCTCTTGTTCCTCGTCCGAGCTGGCATCTGGCTCAAAACTGTACGGCTGGATAGCTCCAATATTGTTCTCCATTTTTGTTGCACCGGTATTGACAGGTTGGGGATGTAAGCTAGCGGGAGAGACAGAGCTCTCAGCAACGGGGAGGGGGAGGGTCGTCTCCGTGCCAACGGCTCCGCCCACAACGCAGAGGCGAATTTCTAATGAGCTACTGCCGCTCTGCTGAAGCGAAGCCCCAGAAAAGGGGCACAGGTTTTGTGATTTTGGCTAAAAATGGCATGATCATAATTTAAAGACCACTGGGAATGTTTAAAAATAGCTCAAAAATATGATCGGAGTGGGACTTTAAAGTGACAGTATTCCTGCTGCAGTCTCTATAATAACACTAATCAAACAACAAGTCAGAGAAAATTCACTCGTTCTTGACTGGATAACTTGTGTAACTATATTTGTAATGTACATTTTATTTATAAAGTGCAGTGTTATTTTACATTTGATTCGTTTCTGTACATAAAATCTAAAAACACTATTTTAAATCGTATCTTTGTTCAGTTGTATCCATGTTGCGATTGCTAATTTTTTATTTGTTGTTTTGTAATTAAGTTAAACCTATGGAAGCTTGTTTCCGCCACTGAATAAAAAAATAAATACAAATAATTGCGACTTTTTATATCTCATAATTCTGAGAAAAGATGTCAGAATTTCGAGATATAAAGTCGCAATTGTGAGAAAAAAAGTCAGAATTGTGAGATAAAAAGTCTCAATTCTGTCTTTTTTCTCGCAATTGCGACTTTATTTCTCACAATTCTCACTTCATATCTCGCAATTGTGAGAAATAAAGTCGCAATTGCGAGAAAAAAAAAGACAGAATTGCGACTTTTTATCTCACAATTCTGACTTTTTTTCTCACAATTGCGACTTTATATCTCGAAATTCTGACATCTTTTCTCAGAATTATGAGATATAAATTTGCAATTGCGAGTTATCAGGCCAATTCTAAGGGGAAAAAAAGACTAACTTTTTCCCCCACAGAATAGTTTTTATTTCGCAATTCAGACTTTATATCTCGCAATTCTGACTTTATATCTCGCAATTCTGAGAAATAAAGTCAGAATTGCGAGATGTAAACTCGCAATGGTGAGAAAAAAAAGTCAGAATTGCGAGATAAAAACTCACAATTACCTTTTTTGTTTTTCATTCTGTGGCGGAAACAAGCTTCCATATAAACCACAGCCAAACGTTCCTCGCGTAAGTGTTCTTTAGCCAGTTGATTTTGTTTTATTCAGCTACAATACAAAAAAATTGCAATAAGACTAAATGTGAATTATATCTTAGATTTTTTTTTTTTTTACCTTATTGGAATCGAAATCGTTCAAATTAAAATGATACCCAAACCTACTGATTTGTTAATGCCATGCTAGCATCTAAAACCAAGTTCTTGGTGACAAACAGATTAAAACAAAGCACAAAACATTTGAAGGGTAGTGTATAAGAAAAAAACAAACACATTTCTTCAAAAGATTAACATCACTACAATTCGATAAGATGTACTTTCCCTTAGCAAATGTGATAATGTGGCTCTACTTACAGGCTTTGGTGAGGAATTTATTTAGGTCATCATCTAAACACAGACCATCAGCATCATCTTCAACAAAATGAAACATGGATGCGATCATCAACTGATACAGAAAGACAGAGCAAGAGGGTGAGTTCAGAAAGTTCACAGACGTCACAAACTGTCGGTCAGTATTGAGCACTCACCCCTGTCTTGGTGTCCAAAGGTACAATGTTGTACTTTTTAAAACCGCAGTAACACAGAACAAGCACCACCTAAGCACACACACACAGCACATGGAAAAATAATTTTCAGTGTTTAGGTAAAAAAAATACCTAACTTTAGAGTTAATGGCTTTCATGTTTTTGAATAAAACACTTATATGAATAAGAAAAGTTATGTCAAGAATACATCATAATTTTATTAAAAGTTTCCAAATGAAGGTAAAAGAATTAAACATCATGAGGAGTTCTTGGGATTTATAATATTTAAGACTTTAACACTTTTGATTTGCCACAAAAAAAAAGGGGTAAAAAAAATTCAGAAACTGACACCATGTTCATTTGTGATTTGCATTTTTAATGCATTATAATATTAAACGTATTTTTATGTATTATAAAGTGTCATATCATTGACAAAATCATAAACAAAGAACATGAGTTTCTTATTCAGAGCAAAAACCAACAGAAACAGACACACACCTTTGCAATCTGAAGCTCCAGCTCGATTCCCTGACTGATCTTCTGGAACATGAGGGATGCCTGTCTCGGGCTGAACTGAAAGTCATCTGCATGTAGAAGGGAATAAAGGTAAGCAGTAGTTTATGCAAACGCACATGTGTGTGTGGAACCATCGCACAGGGAGCCCGATCACTCGACAGGCCCTGTCGGCAGGAACCAGCATCTCTCTGTGTGGCGTCCGGGACTGCGGCACTGCTCGGCTCTGCAGACACACTGGGACAAACCACAGTCTGAACATTAATGGTGATGGGACCTGGGATCGAACCTGCGACCTTCCCGTCCACAGTCCAACTCCTTATCTATTAAGCCACTGCTACTGTTACACTTTAGCTGTCGTATGAGTCATTCTCTATATCAGTGTCTGTTTCTGAACTTTGAAACGCCTCCATTGTAGTCACTCCTTGGAAAGGAAACACTTCACAATATTCCTCATTTAAATAATTCCCACCCAAGGCATATGCTAATTAAAGGGGCGGGGCCTGATTGAGTTAGTAGTGTGTTGAAACTGGTGGTGATGATAAGGGGCGGGACATTCCCCAAACACTTGAAGCGCTTGACCAATCACAACACACTGATCCAGCCGACCAATCAGAGCACAGTGTGCTTTTAAGAAGGAGGGGAATCACAGAGACAGGAACTAAACAGGGGTGAGTTTCACAAAAGCATCGTTAGCCAACTATGGTTGCAAGGTCGTAAATCACCATAGTTCAACGAGTCGGTGTTTCCTGAAACCATCGTTCCAACGAGCATTCGCAAACAGCATCGCAAAGTTGTGTGTTTGGAATGACAGCTCTCGAGCTGTGGTGAGAAGCAGAGTTTCTAGATTGCATGACATGTGGACTTAATAAATCCTTAACTTGAGCAAAATAAGCAAGCTGACATTCAATACAACCTGCGTCTTTTATTTAGAATACATACAAATGTCATTTACATCTTTGAGTTTGTCAAGAGATTTAAAGCACCGTTTTTGAAGACTGCGCATGTGTGAACGAGCTCTAGTGTGTAAGAATGAGCCTATGATTGAATCTGGAAATAAAGCGAAATAACTGAGAAAAATTTGAAAATATTCCTCAGATGCATGTCTGTAATTTACATCAAAACATCTAGCGTTGATTTGATCTCAAACAGTTTCATTAAAATAAGTTATTACTCCACCACGTCCGTGACATCATAAACCAACGTGGTTGAACGAGCACTTTGCGACAATATGGTTTCGGGAAACAGTCGCGTCTAGTTGATTTCTTCAACGATGCCTCGTACTGTGGTAGTGAAGCAGCGAGTTACGTCTTTGTACGGGAAACGCACCCCTGAGCTTTGCTGACAGACTGGGAAGAGAGGAGCTGCAACTATGGAGAATTATTTTTCTCATTTAAGCATGAAAACCTGTTCTAGTAGACCTAAAGGGCATAATATGTCCTCTTTAAAAGACTGGACTGACAAGTTTGGATTTGCTACTCACCCTGCAGTACGCTGAAGAGCATTTCCACCATACTAGCAGCTGGTGACACAAATAAATCATCACAGGACTCTTTCCCTCGTCTACAGAACAAGATGACACACATTAACCAATACATTTATTCATTTAACAGATGCTTCTATCCAAAGTGACTTCCAGAATGAGGAACACTACAAGTAATCTCATGTTTCCTTTCCAGCAATATTCACAGTATTAGTAAAACCAAAAATTGACTAGTAAACCAGCTAGAACAGAAATAAAAGTATTTATTTTAATAAAGGAGTCAAATAGTGACTACTAGTGATATTTAAATATCCTCTCAACAGGTTTTTAAAACGGATATGAATTTAGTTTGCATCTGATTTGCAACATCAACATATATATAGCATCAGAAACCCCTCAAATCAAAGAAAGTAACCAACTAAGTAACAAAAAGGCATTCCTATTGTAACCATCACAGCTCACACTCTGTAGGCAAGCGTAAGGAGTCGATGACCGTCCATCATCTGGGTGATTTTGTTAATGGGCTCCTCAGGACAGACACTGTTGATCTGTCAGAAGAACATTAGTCACTGTAAACATGTCTTCAAATGTCATGTGGTGCGACAATTTAAATATGACGAAGTCAACTTACCCATGACAAAAGTGCTGCTTCCTTAATGCCATTTAACTCCATGATGGACACTACAAATAGACAACTACATTCATTACACAGAATGTGGATTTATGTAAATAGATACATCTACGGTGGCCAATAGAGCTCACATGCAAATAGAAAAAACAACAGCAAATTAAGAAAACATCTTCATCAGTTTGACAACATGTGCTGCAAATACGTGAGGTTTTTTGTTTTGTTTATTTCAACATCCTGATCATATGTGCGCTGTGAGTATTTGCATCACGTGTCTGTATTTGGTTGCGTTGAGAGTATTTTTTGCACATGTGTTGTCAAACTGATGAAAATGTCTTCTTAATTAGCTGGTGTTTTTTTCTATTTGCTTGAGTTTTCAGTTGCAGCACGTTGAGCTCTCTCGGCCACCGTATATCCACTGCAGTCAAAAGTTTTGGATCGGTAAGATTATCATAATGTTTTTTAAAGTCTCTTCTGCTCTCCAAGGCTGCATTTATTTGATAAAAAAAAACAGTAATATAGTTAAATATTATGACAATTTAAAATGACTATTTTCCATTTTTTAATACATTTTAAAATGTAATTCATTCCTGAGATCAAAGCTGATTTTTTAGCATCATTACGCCAGTCTTCAGTGTCATTCAAATCATTTTGATTTGATGCTCAAAAAACATTCATTATTATTATCAATGTTGAAAACAGTTGTGTACAAAATTCAGGATTCTTTGATGAATAGAAAGTTCAAAAGAACAACATATTTGAAATAGAATCTTTCCTTTTGATCAATTAAATACATGCGTGATGAATAAAAGTATTGATTTCTATCATTTCTTTTCCCCCAAAAATAAAATAATTCTTACTGACCCCAAACTTTTGAACGGTAGTCTTTAATGTTACAAAAGCTTTCTATTTCAGATAAATGCTGTTCTTTTAAACTTTCTATCCATCAAAGAATCCTGTAATAAAAATGTAAATAACTGTTTTCAACATTGATAATAATGAGAAATGTTTCTTGAGAATCAAATCATCATGTGACACTGAAGAGGTGTTTTAAATTGTAATAATATTTCACTATATATATATATATACATATACACACACGTGTGTGTGTGTGTGTATTTTTAATCAAATGAATGCAGCCTTGATGAGCAGAAGATGCTTTTAAAAATAATACAAATCTTACCGATCAAAACCTTTTGACTGGAAGTGTAACGTTAACGTTACATCCATAGTCAAACGAAAAGCAGCAGTGTTCTGAAAAGTAACTGAAATTACTCGATAAATTAAACTCGATCTGTTGTTACAAAAAATAGTTTAGATGAAACTCTAAATATGTTGGGTATTTTAAAACGTTGTACCTCCTTAAAATGTGAAGCAAACTTCAGACACGCGCAGACAGACGGTTGGTGTATCCCTGATGTTTCTACAATGCCAGAAAAAATGTCAATCATGAACTAATCAATACAGGTGGGCATAATTATTTGAATCAATCAATGAGAGATGTTTTACCGCATTTGTTTCACTGAAACGACCACAACTTTTTTACAAAACTAATACAGAGCAGCAGGGCGTTCACTGGTCATTTAAATATATGATGACGCATTACTCCATCCTCTATGTTCATTGGCTATCATAAATTACGTAGCCAATGGAAACACTCCTCTTTCCGAAACGGCACAAGTGGTCGTAGTAATCAACGCAACTAAAGTTTATCTATTCATATTTAAATTTGAATGAACAAAACAATTATAAACCAGACAAAGGATAATATAGAAACCTCAATTTAATTGTGATAACCTCAAATTTGGGACAACTTGGTTTGATATAGTTTGAACTTCTAGCAAGTGCAACCCATTTAAAATGTTTCATGCATGCATTTTTATGCTTAAATGTTTAAAGTTGTAAGTTTTAATTTCTTACACTAAATGTTGTTTCTAATATTATAATCTTCCAAATAAAGTCGCATTCTTTAGTTTAAAATAACAAAATCACCAAATTAGAGAAACTACACATTTAAAACACCTGATATGTGTAACTTAGCTGACTTGTGTAACGCTAGTTCATATTCAATGATTTGTTATCGTCAGGTTTGAACGCAATCCTCCGAGAATCAAGAGCTTGCTTATTAAAACTAGAGTTTGACAGGTATATTACCACAAATGAAAACACAATGGCAACTGAAACTTTCCATAAATTTAGATTGTGAATCCAGTCCTAGGGACAATCACAGGGAGAAATACTTTTGCTGAACATGGTGTTAATTCATTGTTTGAAGATTCAATGCAGTCAGAAATGTTATATTTTATTTAATATATCTAATATGGAACATTTCTGCAGTCATAATTTTAAATAAAACATTGTACATTTATAGAAGTTAATTCAGTCTTTATAAAACTTGATTTATTCACTGTAGCTTAAAAAAAAATCTGAATTAAACCATTTCCTAACCACTGAACAACACAGAATAGCAAAATAACTGTTTCCAAACAGATTCTGCAAACACGCCTAATGTACAGGTCCTTCTAAAAAAATTAGCATATTGTGATGAAGTTCATTATTTTCCATACTGTAATGATAAAAATTAAACTTTCATATATTTTAGATTCATTGCACACCAACTGAAATATTTCAGGTCTTTTATTGTTTTAATACTGATGATTTTGGCATACAGCTCATGAAAACCCAAAATTCCTATCTCAAAAAATTAGCATATCATGAAAAGGGTCTCTAAACGAGCTATTAAACTAATCATCTGAATCAACTAATTAACTCTAAACACCTGCAAAAGATTCCTGAGGCTTTTAAAAACTCCCAGCCTGTTTCATTACTCAAAACCGCAATCATGGGTAAGACTGCCGACCTGACTGCTGTCCAGAAGGCCATCATTGACACCCTCAAGCAAGAGGGTAAGACAGAAAGAAATTTCTGAACAAATAGGCTGTTCCCAGAGTGCTGTATCAAGGCACCTCAGTGGGAAGTCTGTGGGAAGGAAAACGTGTGGCAAAAAACACTGCACAACGAGAAGAGGTGACCGGACCCTGAGGAAGATTGTGGAGAAGGACCGATTCCAGACCTTGGGGGACCTGCGGAAGCAGTGGACTGAGTCTGGAGTAGAAACATCCAGAGCCACCGTGCACAGGCGTGTGCAGGAAATGGGCTACAGGTGCCGCATTCCCCAGGTCAAGCCACTTTTGAACCAGAAACAGTGGCAGAAGCGCCTGACCTGGGCTACAGAGAAGCAGCACTGGACTGTTGCTCAGTGGATGAAAGCAAATTTTGCATGTCATTCGGAAATCAAGGTGCCAGAGTCTGGAGGAAGACTGGGGAGAAGGAAATGCCAAAAGGCCTGAAGTCCAGTGTCAAGTACCCACAGTCAGTGATGGTCTGGGGTGCCATGTCAGCTGCTGGTGTTGGTGCACTGTGTTTTATCAAGGGCAGGGTCAATGCAGCTAGCTATCAGGAGATTTTGGAGCACTTCATGCTTCCATCTGCTGAAAAGCTTTATGGAGATGAAGATTTCATTTTTCAGCACGACCTGGCACCTGCTCACAGTGCCAAAACCACTGGTAAATGGTTTACTGACCATGGTATTACTGTGCTCAATTGGCCTGCCAACTCTCCTGACCTGAACCCCATAGAGAATCTGTGGGATATTGTGAAGAGAAAGTTGAGAGACGCAAGACCCAACACTCTGGATGAGCTTAAGGCCGCTATCGAAGCATCCTGGGCCTCCATAACACCTCAGCAGTGCCACAGGCTGATTGCCTCCATACCACGCCGCATTGAAGCAGTCATTTCTGCAAAAGGATTCCCGACCAAGTATTGAGTGCATAACTGAACATAATTATTTGAAGGTTGACTTTTTTTTTTAATTAAAAACACTTCTTTTATTGGTCGGATGAAATATGCTAATTTTTTGAGACAGGAATTTTGGGTTTTCATGAGCTGTATGCCAAAATCATCAGTATTAAAACAATAAAAGACCTGAAATATTTCAGTTGGTGTGCAATGAATCTAAAATATATGAAAGTTTAATTTTTATCATTACATTATGGAAAATAATTAACTTTATCACAATACGCTAATTTTTTGAGAAGGCCCTGTATATGGCCTTTCGACAAGGCTTTGCCACATTCATACACTGCTATTTACCAATGGCTGACAAAACGGTCAATGATTTGATAGAGATATTTTATTATCAAAGAACAAGGAATACATTTAAATATAATACACAAACAACCAATTAGATAAACAGGACAGTAATTAAGATCACTGCATCCCATAATGAAAAATAACTTATTTGCAAAGAGAAAAGATAAGAAAAGGGAATCATTGGCATGTGTTGAATCCTCTAAATTTACACCTTAATCCTGAACCTCATCTGTGGAGAGAGAGAGAGAGAGAGAGAGAGAGAGAGAGGCGTCAGATGATGCATTCAAATCCATATGAGAGTGCAATATAGAAATTGCAATTAAAAAATGACATTTTGAAAGTGAGACTCTAGTAGTTACTCTAGAATAGATCTGGACGGAGAGCAACTGAATAACACCAACATCAGGTGAAATGATCAGAAAAACAGTGACACCACCACCATAATTTGTTCAAAAGTAAAACTTTTTTTTTAATTAAAAAAAATCTAAATGTCATTAAAAACATATGTAAAGTTGTGCATTTACGTAATTAACAAAAAAATTTGAATTACTAAATTTTAAACCATTCTGCTAAATTTCAGGACATAAAATGAGGTCACACCGGCCACCAAACTCCCGAAGCCAGTGTGTTAGAGCACATGACCAGCAGAGCGAGAGTGAAACGAGCACACAGAGGAGAAACACCTGCAGGTTTAAAGCAATGACTACAGTCCACACGTACAGTTCAATACTTAGATCAGCGCAGCGACTCACTGGATTCCCTAAACACACACACACAGCAAATACTTCAACACACCTGCAATTTATAAACATTAATATTGGAATTTAAAGAAATAAAACATACTTTCCTATGCATTATATTTAGTGATGCACCGAAAGTTATTTTCTACCAAAACAGCGATTAACATTTTCATTTAGACGAAAACCGAAACCTGAAATAAAGTTTATTGAACAATCAATTAAATCACATCCATTTAATAATCAACACTAAAAGTTGCAGTTGCGGTATTTAAATAGCACTTAAAGCTTAAACTTTTAATTATATAATTTAACTTGTACTCCAATTCATTGTTAAAATAAACATTTAAACCATTGCAATAAACAGAAAAAAATTCTTGACAGATTTTTCCAGACATACATTAAAAAAGACAACAGGTGAAGTAAAAATATATGCAATAGTGCATATAAAAATGCTCCTCTCCTTGCTAGTTATTTTTTTCTAGCCAACTAAAAAATTATGGACATTGAATAGTTTTTCTGAGGTAAATAAAACAACATGGCACGTTCACAAGCTGTTTTATTGACATCTTTCCGCAGTTAAAACACTGATTGTGCGATTTCATGAAACATGATACTAGTTTAGTAAGAGATACTAATTTTACTAAGTTGTACTGTATCTTTCAACATAACTTCAGATGTTCATTCATGTTTATTTGGTGCTATAACTAGTAGTAAAGAGAAAGAGATTATCTGTTTATTGATTGAATTTTGTGAGAAAATTGACAGAATTTGAAACATCAGACTGTATTTCATATCAAAAGTAACTAAGCACAAAGCTTACTGGGATCATTGCACTACATTACATCATGTTTATCAAAGTTTTCCCTCATTCATGAGCCAAGATCTTTTAATCTGTGCCGTTTGCAGTTCATCAAAATGAAAACCCATTAAAAACGAGAAATCAATATTGCCCACCCAGCATATCCATGTGCAGGAAAGACACGTGCAATCAATTAAACAATCGTTTCGGTAAATTATTTTGATCTTCTAAAACTGAAAACCTATTTTTCGGCCGCAGAAATTTCAATGCATCACTAATTTAATGTGCTCTGGATCCTCATACCAGATAGGAACAACAGTAGTCAACATTTGAAGTGGATCAAAACCTTTCATCAAAGTTACACATGAATTTTAAACAATACCCGTTCTTATCTTAGGACAACTTTGATGAACTTGTTTGATCCACTTCAAATGTTGACTACTGTACATGGTTTTGTGTTCATGTCTACAGAGAGAGCGTTTTCTTAAACAGAAGTGTTTATTGTACCTTTTTGGCGTTGGAGGATTTGGGGGACTTGATCCTGGGAGACTTCCTGAGCGTGGAGTCGAGAGGAGACCTGGCGCTCACGGCTGAACGCAGGGCACGACTGGCCACGCCGGGAGACTTGCGGGCGCTGTTACGCAACTTGTTGAGGCCGCGCTGAAGCCTGCTGTCCCCTCGGCCGCTGGTCTTCGGGGTGTTTACAACAGTGAACACCACAGATTGCCTTCGC